GGGAGAGAATCGTAGAAATTAGAATAAATTAGGGAAAGACTAATGTGAGGGACTAACTAAGATACACCATTTAAAATGTATCAGATAATATTGACATATATTTTAAGCATCTTTTATGACATAAAAACACATGAAGTATAAAAAATAAAAATCAACATTTAAAAAAATATTTTAACCTCAGTGATTTTCATTTTTTATAATGCTCATATTGATTGTATAAAAAGAACACTAGATGCTCTGTAATTGTTGTAATTTAATTATAATGTTCTAATTTAAAGAATGATATATCTAAGCGCTTGGATGAAACATGTAGGCAACCTCTTGCATAACATTTTACATATAAAAAATTATTTTGTTGGGTTTAAGTTTTTGTTTTCAGCATTATTTTAAAAAGCATGAAGACATTAAAAAAAAACATCAAATGAGTCCTATTTATGAGTTGACATCTGTTACTGTATTTAAATCCTAGCCGAAAATCACTGCTGTTACCAAGCTATGAAAACAGCATTATTTCATTTGAAAAAAACAATACGACAACAATTGATAATACATAAGAACCAAGGAAAACAAAGAAATATAGGTTAATAATATACTGCTCGAATAAACGTTTATAACAAGAAAAATATTTGTAGCAAAATGTTATGTTTTCTTTTAATTTAAAAGTTTTTTTAGTTGCGTGTTGAATTTTCAAAATCTAGTTTGAGGTCTATTATGAATGCAAGTGTTGTTTCATACATTAAAGAAATCTATCTTTCATGTAAGGTAAAACATTACTTAAACTCCAATAAAATAAAACAAACATTATTTCTTTTTCAAAGCAACAATTGCACTATTAAAAACTAAGTCAAGAAGTTTACCATGCACAAAATATGTTTAGAAATTACCCAGTGCAATTATGTACATACTTACTTATCAATGTTTATACTGGTTTACATTTAAACAGCAAACCACTCATATAACTAAAGATTTTTTAACGAAGTGAGAATAAAGTAACTTTGTATGACTAGCACACAATTTACAACATATTTGTTTTTCTTCATATTAAACAACATAAAAGTTTATATCACCGCCTTGTATCAACTTCTTAAAAAATGAAATATTTTATTTAAAAACCTTATCATCTGAGTTTCCTTGATTCTGCTGCATTAATGAAAATAAAGATAAATAGAAAGTTTAGAAATAAGAGAGCTTCAGTGTCAAAAATAATACTTGTGGTAGTATAAAATTAGACTCCTTTTCCTTCTAGAGTAAGTATTTATACATTTTTTTCCTACATTAAAGGATCACATAAAACTTGCCCCAGGTTAACGCTAATGCTAATCAATGATCCTTTTAAATGTCCAGAAATTTGAATAGATCATTTAAAAAACTAAACAAAACTTACACTTACAAACAAGCAAATGTAAACACCCAAAGAACAATATTTTTCATACAGAATATTCATTCACAATATTTATTCACTTACCGAAGCCTAAGAAAATATGTAATAAGAAATGTCAGTGCATTGATATTTTGATAAACCTCAAATATATTAAATTAGCAATATATAATCAAATGATTAATAGAGCTCACAAAAGGTTATGTGTGGACAAACAGAAATGCATAAATAATCTAATAAAATATGGGAATTATATGCATGAATATAAAGTTACAGAATTTGATTCTCACATCAAGACTACATTAACAAAAACTATCAACTCTAGTTTCAACCCTTAAGATTACTAAATGCATAAAAGACCTAAACAAGTTTTTAGGTTACTTGACAGCTTTGTTCTGAAATTTCGATATATCATGAATGTGTATAATAGAATGCAGATTCTATATTACATTGTAGAACAATGAAAGGATTTATTGTTGATTGGACAAAAGAAAGTGAAGGGCTATAACATATTTAGATTGTCTTTTAACTGCAGTAGTGAAACTACTAACTTATTTTTCAAAATTTAGAAGCTCAAATGTATTACTAGTATCCAGCTTATTCAAATTATATTTTAGATTATTTTAACTTGTTTTCTGTTAGCTGTTGATTTTCAAATAATCAATAAGTGAGCACAAACCAATATCCTTCAGCCATTTTACTGTCGTTACTTGAAATAATGTGCTATATTGTTCATCGGTATGCAGTCGTCTTATCAGAATATAGATACAGTTAGTGGATTGTTGTGCACAACTATTGGTTATCTGTTGGTTTACTCTATGTTTTGATAAGACACCTTCAATTATTTATTTTTTGATAGTGTAAATACTTGGTAAAGAATGAAGGAAAAGAACAACTTTAAAATTAACATTAGGCCAAAAACCAGCAGTTATTAAATAAATTTGGAGTGACCTCCACTAAACTTCCTTGTATGTTCTTATAATTTTTTTTAATACTGAAATTTTTGATTAAACAGAATAAAGTAGAAAAAATAATTTGCGCACAAAAGGACAGTCAATAATGTGTGCATAATTGAGCAGAAAATTAGTACTTTATAAGGAAAATTTGATACATTTTAAACAAGTTAATTGAACTTCTAATTTAGTCACATTTTATTCCACAGTGCATAGTCATAAAGTCTTGACCTTTATGAAAAGTTCAAAACAAATATGTCCAGTAGAAGTATACCGTAAAATACTACAATATTTTCCTTATTGTGTGGGTAAAAAGTTAATTTCACAGATGTTACATGTAAGTTGCTCTACTAATACAAGTTACATGTAACTTGTATTAGTAGAGCAACTGATAAACAAGCCCATACCTTTATTCTTCCAACAGCTTCCTGTGCTTGCATCATACGCATAGCTTTTGAAGGCTGACCTTCAGAAATTAGCTGGGTGGAGCCTAGGTAGCGGGCTCTGAACAATACACCCTCAATCAGAACTTCAGGTCGATCAGGATCACGGATGGCAGCTGTATCAACAAAACACCAAGATATGAAAGAGTCACAAACAGCATTTTTAAGTTAGTTTTCCATGTTTTACAATTTGTCTGAGGTGCATTACATAAACTCAAGAGAATAAGAAAAATAGAGTTAGTAATTTTCCAAGTTAACAATAATAAGTTGCTACAAAAACTTTGCCTTAAAACTACAAAATAAAAATAGTATACACAAGTGAACACAGAGACCAAATTTAACTGTTTTCTGTGTATAAGATATAACTGTTTATTTGTGCTGCCATTTGAAATATATTTTTTTTCTACTAAACATAAATATCTAAACACTTTATTCTTTTAATGTAAAAAAATTAAAAAATATACTACTGAAAGAAAAAGCAAACTACCCAAGATTTAAGGAAAGATAGTAGATACATGTTGCCAAAGGTTGAAAAAAAAAAGAAAGTTCTAATAGATCCAGGGGAAAACATTAGATTCATATTGGAAAGAAAACATTAAAGGAACTTTGAGGATTGTAAAACTAGTTTTACCCAAACTTTACATTTAAATATTCAAATTGTCACAGCTAATAAAGAGAAGAATTAAATATAACCAAACCTGCACCCAACTTATCAGTGTATTTGTGCAAAAGATAGATTTGATTATGAAACACTGTGCTTTGTAAAACTATATTTTATATAGATCTATTACTTAACCAAAAATATGTATTTTAAACCAATTATCTTTTCTTAGCAATTAAAAATAATACAACTGATGTGCTAATAAAGGAATTATTTAGGTGTTTTTTAACTGCTAATAACTAAATTAAAAATGTGTTAAAACACTGAAATATAAGTGTATAATGAAAAAACTGTTAGTGAAATGAAAAAGTACAAGACATTTTTTTTTAAATGTTAAGCACAAAAAGACAAAAATAAAAACTACTGAAAGTTATCAAAATATTATTTTAAAAAATAAAATAAAGAAAAGAATTAAGGAAAGCAAGAGAAAAATGATGAGAAGAATTATGAAAAAGAGCCAAACACTGAGGAAGACTATCCCTTGAATGAAGAGATTTGATAAGGAACTTACCCACAAAAAATAGATTAGCGTAAATATGCAATGTCAGCCACAGGAATTGTTCATTGCCCGACAATTAGATGATACAGATATTTGTTAAATGTTAAAAAGTTTAATTTGTTTGAAACAAAAAAAAAGCAATTACTAAATAAAGATACTAAATAAAGAAACAAGAATAATGTTTTCTAACAAAAATAGTGACTATTCTACTAATTAGTTGAGACCATAAATGTGTTTATGTTGTACTTATATACCCTGACAAAAGAGAACAGCAAAAATTCACCCGCTCTCAGATAAATCATTAGCAAGCTCCAAAATTTAATTTATTAACATTAAGAAAAGACACTAAATAGCAAAAAAGTAAAAGGAAGCTAAAGAGCATTCAATAAAATTAATTAATTTAATCTCAATTTACAATTAAATCAATTTAAATTAGTGTTAGTGTAATACACCTTATTCCTGGAGTTTATGTAAAGTACACTGAATTATATTTTTAAAAGGATCAATAACAACTAATTAATTAAGATAGCAGTATTTTTAAAAATAATTTTGAACAGTTTCAAATTAAAGCTACTATAATTTCTAAAGTTTTTTTTAAATCATAGTTAAATAGTTATGTATACTTTCATAACTAATAAGTGAACTTACCTTCTTTAGCCTTTGAATGCCGCCTGTCAACCTGTAAAAAGGTAAGTGCCTCTTTTGTTTACATTGAACATTTACAATTTTATTACGGCTAACGTTTTTCTTCAACCTTACAAAAATATTATACAAAATGTGTCAATCCTATTTTAAATTATACATCAGTGCTGATGTACCATTTACAAATATCCCTAGGGCAAAACAAAATATTCTCTGTAATCAAAGATAGGGAAAAACCACCAAAGAATACCACCTTCCACATGGAAGTTAATTGTGTTACAGTGTGCCCTCTTTGCCCAGCTAACACTTCTGATAGCACATAAACATGAACATTGACAGTAGGCATTGGTTGATGTTATTACCTCAGATCTTCTTGTAGCTGTTGGGTCACTAAGTTCTGGAATTTCAACATGCTTGTCCCTCTCTTGATACTGCTTCTGTAAAAGTCTATCAGTCTCTTCATCTGTATCTGAATCTTTGATAATAAATTTAAAAGTTTGAATATTCTGGACAACTAAAGAAACTTTTTTTTTATTTGTGCACACTTTATGCATCCAAAAAGAAAATAGAAAAATTCTAATTTTTTCCTTAGGGTTAAAAAGTTATAAATCTGCACTGATAATTTATCGGCTAAAAACTGAACCATACAATTCTGATAAAAATGTAATTTAACCAGAAAGTGGTTTGGTTATTTGTATAGCTTTTGGTACTGAATATAACACAGAAAAAAAACATGTTAACTGGCTGATTATACTACATTACAAAATTTGACTGAAAGTAAAGGGTGCAGACTTATGTGCTGATCACTTAGTACTCTAGTGAGCTGTGCACACACAATCTCAATTCTAATAAAACTGGCCAATGAATGAATAGTAATCTCTGATTAAGCAATAATGTATTTTACTCTTTATCATAATTTTCCCCTCTTCCAAAAAGTCTCACAAAAAGTGCACAGTGATTTTAGAAAAAAAGTATTCAACAACTGATCTTTTAAAGTTTGTCTTTCAACACTACTGTCTTGAAGATTAACAATGGTCATACACTGAAATGCACCCTGTGAAATTTCTATATTTAACCTTTGCATTTCTTTTTTAACTTATTCTTAATATTTTTCATTATGGCCATGATTAAACTTATGAAATGAAAATAAAGATCCAAAAGCAAAAATAGATTAAAGATATTTAAAATATGGAGCAGCAATTCAAGTAGGTTATCTTTTGTAGAAACATTCCACTGTTATTTGATCTGTGAGTGTCAGTTGTCAGGAACCTAAGACAATCCACTGTTATTTGATCAGTGAGTGTCAGTTGTTAAGAACCTAAGACATTCCACTGTTATTTGATCAGTGAGTGTCAGTTGTCAGGAACCTAAGACATTCCACTGTTATTTGATCAGTGAGTGTTAGATTGTCCACTGTTATTTGATCAGTGAGTGTCAGTTGTCAGGAACCTAAGACATTCCACTGTTATTTGATCAGTGTCACTTGTCAAGAACCTAAGACATTCCACTGTTATTTGATCAGTGAGTGTTAGATTGTCCACTGTTATTCGATCAGTGAGTGTCAGTTGTCAGGAACCTAAGACATTCCACTGTTATTTGATCAGTGAGTGTCAGTTGTCAAGAACCTAAGACATTCCACTGTTATTTGATCAGTGAGTGTCAGTTGTCAGGAACCTAAGACATTCCACTGTTATTTGATCAGTGAGTGTCAGTTGTCAGGAACCTAAGACATTCCACTGTTATTTGATCAGTGAGTGTCAGTTGTCAGGAACCTAAGACATTCCACTGTTATTTGATCAGTGTCACTTGTCAAGAACCTAAGACATTCCACTGTTATTTGATCAGTGAGTGTCAGTTGTCAGGAACCTAAGACATTCCACTGTTATTTGAATGACTGTAAATTGTAAGATACCTATGAGAAATTTCCCAGAAAAAATATCTATTTATACAACTGATAAAATGCAATTTAGTATATATAAATATAAAGTAAAATTAGTATTTATTAACTACACTTCCATGTAAGAAATAGATTCTAAAGATTCATCATGTGGTTAAGTTTGTATAGCTCAGCAAGCATCGTTATTAGTAGAATCAACCAAACTAGAAGCTTTTGCTATGAGGAATTTGTATTATTTGCAAAATGTATTATAAACCAAAGTTTCTATTCTTCATGTGTGTACACCTGTGAAATTTGATAGTGCTGTAGGATTGTGATTCAATTCAAGGTCCTTCACTGAAATCTATAAAGTATAATACAAGCCACGCTTTTTCAATGACTTTCATCTTCCTGAATTAAAATTCACAACTTTTATAAGCCATTGTAAAATTTCAAAGAATGGTACATGTTTTAAATTTAATTTTGAAAAACTGTCAACAAGTCATTCTCAACATGCTAAATATTATCTGCTTCTACTGAACATGCACATTCTCTTAAAAAACACGGCAACAAAATGCAAGTCCTTCACCTCAATGCACACTACAGCCAAGAACATGAATCAAGGAACCATGAACAAAACATTTTTCATTTTACAAATGGCACAATGCCTAAAACAAGACAAAAAAAACAACAAAATATGTGTGTTGAAAATAAGCATGCCAAGTTAGTAACACTCCTATTTCATCACTAGATTAAGTAATGTAAATTATGTCTTCTTTTACTCTGCTGAGGCTATCTCAGTGATATGAAAGGTAAATACCTGCATTAGGAGGTCTGGTATAAGAGTTTATGTTGGCTTCTAAATCACTGCTTTCTTCAGATGACAAAGGCACATCAGTACGATGTACATGGTGCTCGCCGGGCTGTTGTAATCCTTGGATATTGGCCACTGATCCATTGTTGCCTGAGTGTGTATCATGATTATTTGAAAACATGTGCCCATTTGAATGAGCAGCATCTTTCTTGCTGCCACCATAGGCACCCCCAATCTCTAACGAATCATCTTTTTGTAGTGGGGCATATTTTTTCCCTTTGTTACGCCTTGTGTACCGGATGCCATCAGCATCCTCACATTCATCATCTGAATCATAACCTACAAATGAAAGCATGCACAAAATTTGCCATCAAACAACATGCATTAATCTAAAAGAAAACAAAAATTATAAAATGGGAAAAAAAATTTTAAACTAGGAAATACAACCGCAAATCTACTCAAACATCATTTATTTACAAAGAGCAGCAAATATACAAATAGCGGGAAAAAAATTGTAAAAAGAGCCATTTCTATTTTAAAATAAGTAAAGGGCTAATTATGTGGTAAAAGGTGAGACACCAAAAAAAAACTCTTTTTTTTTAAACTAGCATCTATATGTTTCTTAAAAATAAATTCTTAATTAATAATTTTAAATAACAATAAGCATTTGATTTTTTTAATTAATTAGGGAAAGGGTACAATGAAGTTTAAACATCTACAACAAGTAACATGTTAACAATTAAGTTTAGATAACAGAAGTTCCACAAGCTTCAGTAATTATTCATTTGTTAATGATTTTTTTCTAGGAAGAGCATGTTTGTATAAATTCTCCCTTAAACTAATTAAGTTAATTAAGAAATTACAGAGAGAAAGATTTTCAATAAAAAATATTAACTGTTATTTGCAAGCAGTCTTACAAGTTTTTGAGGTCTAAAATACATTCTGAATATGCTCATTCATAAGAAAACCATTTGAAAAGTTATCAGGTGGGGTACTGAAGTCTGGTGCTCTTAAAGGTGCCTTTGTGTGGACTCCATATCAATGAGCATAGACAGTTATTAGCTGTAATCCTTTAGTTGAGATACTGAATTTTTTTTTATATTTAAAAAAACCACAAAGTAAAGTGAAATCAATCTGCTTTTTTCCATGCAAAGACTTATCAGCATACTAAACCATCTAAAGCAATTTATAACCACACTATCATTTAGCTGAAAAACACTGACATGATTCAGAAAAGCATAGCAAAGGAAGTTTATAAGCTTAATTTACTGAATTTTTTTTTTTAAAGTTTCTATAAATCATACTAAAACAACACAAGTAAGACCTGTCAGGTAATCAGAAGGAAACTATGGTTAGAATGTTAATGAAAGCCAATGAAAAAGCTATGGGTCAGGTTAATATTGCCATTATTGTATGGTGGTTCACCTGGTATTTGATGGTTATGCTCATCAACTTCATTTCTTGTGTAATATGTGTCAGAATGGCTACAGTCTTGGCTATCCTCGTCTGAATCAGACAATAATAAATACTAGACAATAATGATGTGACTTTAAGCATTATGTGGTTATTGTGATTATTACTTTTAATGTTCAGTGTTACTATATATTGAGTTAACTTGACAAAACTAGATGTCTGGAGACTTTCAAGAGACCGACTACTCAGAAATGAAAGAAAAAACAAAGATGGTACTGTACATATTTCTGTATGGTCTATTTTTAGCAACCATAACAACACTCTAAGCCAGGGGTCTGCTATCTTGTATTTAAGTTCAAAGGAGCTTTATACAAAGTGGTATTAAAATCTGATCGACTGTGTAAACATAAAAACCATTATTTTACTGTACTGAGTTCTTAGCCTAAAACAACAGAAATATTTCCTTATTAAAGAAGATTCATGAAATTTAAAGTTCCTAGCAGAATATTAGTAGTACAAAGTATATTAATTACAGCTGATCTTTAGAACCGATGAACGACACTCATGCAGCAAACAAGAACAGATATGGCTTATAAAATATTAGATGATAACTGACATGACCTGCACATGATAACTGACATGACCTGTAGATGAAAACTGACATGACCTACACATGATAACTGACATAACCTACACATGATAACTGACATAACCTACACATGATAACTGACATAACCTACACATGATAACTGACATGACCTGCAGATGATAACTGACATGACCTGCAGATGATAACTGACATGAACTGCAGATGATAACTGACATAACCTACACATGATAACTGACATAACCTACACATGATAACTGACATAACCTACACATGATAACTGACATGACCTGCAGATGATAACTGACATGAACTGCAGATGATAACTGACATGACCTACACATGATAACTGACATGACCTGTAGATGAAAACTGACATGACCTGCACATGATAACTGACATAACCTACACATGATAACTGACATGACCTGCAGATGATAACTGACATGACCTGTAGATGATAACTGACATGACCTGCACATGATAACTGACATAACCTACACATGATAACTGACATGACCTGCAGATGATAACTGACATAACCTACACATGATAACTGACATAACCTACACATGATAACTGACATGACCTGCAGATGATAACTGACATGACCTGCAGATGATAACTGACATGACCTGTAGATGAAAACTGACATGACCTGCACATGATAACTGATATGAACTGCCACTCCTAAAAAGGTCTACACACATATAGGAGGTACACAAAACAGATGTGATCAATAAAAACAGATGAAAACTGAAATTCTTATTTTGATAACTGAAATGACCTGCCTTAGTTGAACAACCAATATAAACAATTATCAAGTGTGAAGAATAAATGTGATCTATAAGAACAACAGTTAATAAATATAGTCTGCACCTGCAATATCTACTGTTATTTTGTTAGTTTGAGAGCAAAGATGATGGAATAGTATTTATTAAGTTTTTTAACTGTTTTTAATAATTAGAAATTACTAATACACTAGGTTATTGGGTTTTTAATTTTTACTGACGTTCATTATTTCCTTTTTATATTTAGGCTATATTAAAAGTGCTTGAATTTGAAAAATCAATAAAGAGATATAAAAATAAGACTGAATTTTATGTAGTAGTTTACAAATAATGCAATTGGGTGTAGAGCTAAATTGTGCCACAATATTTAATTGTTGATATGAATGACAGTTAAATGTTGCAAATATTCTTTGGCTGATTTACTACTTTTTTAAAAACAATTAAAAGCTTTTTCTTGTGATTTGATAATTAAGACTAAGGATTAAATAGACACTGAATTGAACATGAACATATATTAATAAATATAGTTTATTAATGTTTGCATGTGTAAATTATATATATATATATATATATATATATATATATATATATATATATATATATATATATATATATATATATATATATATTCATACACACACACGTGTTCTAAACTAATCATAATTTACAGCATGAATTTGGTGAAAGTATTACATGCTACAGAAGAATAGTCTACAAAACTGAAAACACACTATTATACAAAGCACTTCATCAAAACGAGAGTGTAAGCAACAACAGGTAAAAGGAAAAAGCTAACAAAATAAACAAAAACGGTTATAAAAAGTAATAAAAGAGCTAATAAATTTTTTGCACATACAGTTGATTCAAGAATATTGACTGTCATTTAGCAATATTATCATTTCGATAATAATTAGACTGCCACATAAATTTCAAATTTTATAATTTCAATAATTTTTCTTTTTTCTTACCTTTTTCTTGCAGAGGTTTCCCCTGAGTGGGATTTAATTGTTCTTGTTGTCTCTCAATTTCTTCCCTAACTTTTCTCATTTCTTCTTGTCTACGGAGCAACTGGTCTTGAGCTTTATTTTCCCTGGAGTATGTTTTGAAATATTAAACCCAATGCTTATACAACAATCAATTAGTTGTTTACAAAGAGTAAAGAAGTAACATACATGTTAAAACAAAAACAACTTTCATGTATTTATTCCAACAAAAATTTAATAAGAATACTTTGTTAATTTCTTTAATGTAATAATATTTTTTTTAAATAAGTATATTAGGGTGTACCACCTTTTGACCCAAACAGGTTGTGTGTCTTCAGCTTCTTGTTGTGTCTGGTAAGAAGATTCAAGCGACATGCTTTTACTGCGTTGAATAGCTGATTTAATATCTGCAATGGCCATATCTAATGCTTCCCTTTTCATTTTTAAGTCATCCATGATAGCCTGCGCATCCATTTCTTTAGGGCAAGAATCCTTGAAAAAGAATTTTTGGGATAAGTAGTTTCATATAAAAAAATATATATGTATTTTAAAATACATTTAAAGAGTACAGAAAAAAAAGGTGTTTATGAGTTCCCACAAAGAATACAGATAAAACTGTCAATATACCTGAACCTGGAAAAACAAACTTGAATGTTCCACAAGTGAAATGAGTGCTGCTTTCATTAGTAAAATGGTAGGAGTACTTAACAAAAAGCTTCAAATCCTTATATATATCTTATCAGATTTATTTTAACTTGTAAGTAATTAGCATTCTTTATTTGAATAGGGTTTGTAAAATGTATTTTATAATCTTTACAACAATTATAAAAATGTAATTGATTAAAGTTATTATGTTCATTTATAAAATTATTAACTTTAGAAATCAATTGTTACTTTTGAATTATATAAAAATGTAAAAGAACTTCAGAAACACTTTGTTTCAAAAGCTCTCTAAAATCACTTAATAACAAATAAAGTTTTATACATCTTAACTTACCTCATCGTCTTTATAAAACTCTTGCTCTTGCTCAGTAGCAGATTTCTGCTTTAATTGCAACATTTTGGAAGGGGAACAACTATTTCCATGACCACAAACCCCATCTTCAACATCACTTGCTTGACTGCTAGAGAGGCCATCTTCAACAGTGGGGAAGCCAGGTGTTGAATTCTCCCCTTCAGAGGTGACACTCTCCACATCTACACTATCACATTCTGTATTTTCTGGAGACAGTGTGAAAGCTTTTTTATCTTCTGAGTAATCACTGTTATTCAAAGGTATCTCTGTTAGTGTCTCTTCACTAACTTTCTCCTGGCTTGGAAGATCTGCATGGCTTTTTTTATGCAAACTTTTCTCTGGTGAGGGCTCTCTTGAGCTGTTATCGGATCCAGCACTATGTTTTATATTCAAGGAATCATTAGAGCTGGAATACGCCAACCTCATGCCAACATATGAGTTACCCTGTTGCACACGAGCATATTTGACATAGTCATATTCATTCTCAATGTTTAGGTTTTTGGGTATTGGTGTTATAATTTCTAATACATTATCCCTTGGTTTTCCTGAAGTATTTTTAATTTTAAGTTTATGGGAAGTTCCAGGTTGTTTTTCTGTATCCCTTTCAACTGAAGGATTCTCCTGTTCTTCAACACTTTCGCTGTCAACTCTACGTGCTAGTCCAGGTGATTGTTTTAGCCCAATCATTTTAGGTTTCTGTCCTTGACTTTTACTAAAGTCAATATTCAGCTCTTTCTCATAATCTTTTATTTCACCAACGATAGGAATGTTATTTCTAATTTCAAGACTATTTCTTTTAGAGTTGGTTTTCTCTTTTTCAACATTAGACTCTTTATCCATAACCAAAATTTGCATTTCAGGCATCTCAACAGCATCAGTTACATCTAAGCAAGCATTTTTTAATTTCACATTAGGCCTAGAAATGTTGGATGTCTTATCCGAAGCATGACTATTTTTATCTCCCTGGTATATTTGCTTGTTTATTGTCTCTTGCAAGCTACCCATAGGAAAATGCTCAGACAGTGGAAGATCACATGCTTCAAAAGTCTCCATATCATCTGGAGCATCTGGAAAGTCTGGTGGGTATGAGTCTAAGCTGTCATCACTACCACGCCGAGAAATAATGCTGTTAGATGGCTCACCATCATCAAGGAGATTCTGGTAGGAAACAGAACTGATTTCACTCGGGTGACGTGAATCTCCACCTAAGTGAACTTCCATACTTAAATTGTCTACACTTTCATCCAGTAGGCTACCAGTTCCTGATACGCTTTCAGGTACAGCCAATGAAGGTCGCCTGAGATTAGTATTTACACCACAGGCTCCTGTTTCATTTTCATCATCAGACTCAATGACATTTTTGAATCTTTTATCTTTCATCGACATGGTTGACACTCACTTAAAACTCACTTAAAGCAATGCCATTGCTGAAATAGAGAAAAAAATATAGTATCAAAAAAAGCATATTCAATTTCTACCACATGATAAACCAATTGTTTAAGTGTTTGTCCATATCTGAAGATATAAGTAGGTATTTTCATTTAAAGTGACAGAAATATATTGAAATTTTATTGTGAATACTGAAGTGTTGTATTTGATCAAATTTAAACACAAAAAAAGCTAAGATTTAACATGATTATTCAGATATAAAAGGGTCTACTTTATCAACTGGTAGAACCTGAAAATTACAACCAAATATTAGTTTACTTTTAAATGCAATTCTGGCTTGAATAACTTCATATACTTTGTCTTTGAAGTACACTTTTTTGTCTTATGTCAGGGTTGAACATTAGGTCAGTAACTTTGCTAATACAACAAATTCTAAACAGCAACAAACAGGTAAGCTTTTCAATTAGTAACTAACAAGAAAATAGTAGTGTGAAAGATTATGACACAGATAACACCCTCGCATCTAAAATATGAATGATGCACCCAGAGCTAAGAGATAAGATGGCAGATGAAACAAATCTTTCAGAAACTATTTTAAAGCCCTTTAAAGTATGCTCCACATTAGTAGATTTGTAGACATTGTGAATTTGAACACTGGATATATTAACCCTGCTTTTCAATGTTGTAGACACAAATCCCAACCTAATTTAATTTTAACTAACCATGTATCAAAGGCAGCTGAACATTTTTAATTATGTGAGATATTGAAGTGTAAAGAATGGGATAACATGGCTAGTAACGCAAATTTCAACAGTTAATTAGTTCTGATGGGTAGCTGGCTCAGGTAGATGAAACAAATTAACATGGGCATAGTGCTAACCCTCCAGATGCAAATTTTAAAGAAACAGATGAACTCTGCTTCCAATACTACAGTGGTGATTATTCTATAGTCACTAACCTACCCTATTGCATGGAAATTTTTTAATGCATCACTTCAGGGGAGGGGGTTGCCCAATGCATGGAGCATGTCTACAAAGCTCCCCACCCCTCCCAGAACAAAACAGAAAAAATGTATGCAGAGAATAGCATATATTGATATATACTTTAACCAGTGTACACCCCCTCCCCAGGAAATTTTTAAAAAGCCCCCCCCCCCCCAAGTCAGTTTCAAGTGCCCCCTTTTCTCCCCTGCAACCCAAATAAGAATGTCTGAAAGAAACCCTGTGTGAGCGGGTAGATCTGTTGGTTGAATCTAAGGTCTTTGTGTTTTGTAGACCACTTGTGAAATGTAAATCCATAAAAATGTAAAGCCCTAATTCTTTAATAAATTGTAAAACCTACATGCTTAACCAGTAGCGTAGCGAGGGGGGGGGGGGACATATGTCCCCGGGCGCCGACCTTAGGGGCGCCAAAATGGGTTGGAAAAATTAATTGAAAGTTTGAGGGGGGGTGCAAATCAAAAAGTTTGTCCCCGATTCTAGAGGCCTGCTAGCATTGCAGCATTGGGCACACATAATCTAGTAGTGTAGTAGTAACTATAACTTATAACTAAGAAGTTACCAATGAATGTGATTTTGTGATGAGTGATGAGATGAGCATGAGACTATGACCCTACTCCTTACTTATAATACTTAATGAGTTACTTTATAGAGCTAGTAGATTTATTGCATTTATGAGTGAGTGATACAGACTAATACTGTGTAATACAGACAGTGGCTTGAGTGGCCAACTCAGTTTTTATTTTTGTATTTATTTAGGGCCTAGCTACTTGTTTGTTTTTTACTATTTAATTAAATTATTAATTAAGTATGCCTATTTCTAGATCTAGATAACTAGATCTTACTGATCTATCTAGGCTCTGCTTGATTGGTTTGTTAAATGAAATAACATTGAAAAATAAAACATTTTTATTTTTTACTCACACTGACTTACACGACTTCTCACTCACTCACAAACGACAAAACGTAGTGTGAGTGCACACACACACAGCAGGAGAAATGAGCCTAAATAATTTAACATTATTTTGGCTTACAACAAGAACTTACACGTATAAGTATTGTATGTTTTGTATTAGCATTATGTCATTTAATTCTTTCACGGACAACCTACAATAACGTAGATCTAATGATTATCTTGTTTGTAATTTTGTTTCAAGAAAAACAAAATCATCCGGAACTACAGAGTTAGGCTATATGAGTAAGTACTGGTAGTCAGACATAATGACAGGGTTGCCAGATAAAAATATTACAAAGTTGTCGAATTACCCTGTCTGAAATATTGTGATGGGTAGTGCCAAATAAAGTCATCCATGATAAATGTCTCACTTTTTTTTTAACTTCCCCCTCCCCCGCCTCCCCAGGTAAGGACTGGGCCGCATGGGGCACCGGGAAATATCCCGATGTACCGCCAGGAAAAAAATCCCAATGGGCCGACAGGAAAAAATCCCAGCGGACCACAAGGATCAGTGCTGTAACAGTGTCAATTTAATCAACCACTCCGTGTCGTTTTGTATTATTGTATATTGCAATTTGTAAAGTGACCCATCGGTCATAAGGCTTGGATTTTTAAAATGTGCACTTTAAAAATGTAAGTCAAGAAGGGACCGCTTTCGTAACTCTCCCAGACGGTCAACCTGTCCATTGTTTCATATCGTCACAAAACGTCAGACCCCGTCCCTGAAATAACGTCACATTTCAGCATACCCATTCACACACACACACACACACATACACGCTCACACACGTAGGCCTACATCCAAAGTTCAATATTTCATTGATTTCTTTTTCTAAAATATTATCTGAGTTGGGCACCATTAGGTATAGGCACCTATTGATCAACTAAAATGACAGCTTAGAAAAATAAAGTCTACTTAAATTTCGTTTCAAAAAGAAATAATTATAATGCAAAAGTTTGACGTCTCACTTTTTGACAGTCCATTTATCATACCTTGGTCACACACTGTCTCAAACATTGCCGACCCGAACGGAGGAACGGGGCGACGACTGCACTGTAGAATAACCACCGCTGTAGTATTTGAAGTAGTTCATCTGTTTCTTTAACCTTTGCAGTTGAAGGGTCAGTATGATCTAAGATTATTTTTCCTATTGCTTCTGTGTGCTCTCTATGGCTCGGATCTGTGCAGTAGGATATAATATATTGAGTTAAAGACTGTTATTTCAGTGTTGTGAGAGATGTGCAATGCCTGTCGCCGTCTTTGTCTTTTCCTTCATCCCATGGTGATATTGCCCACATTATAAACATAAGCATTTAAAGCTATCTAGACTAGTTGACCTATGTTTTGGTTACCAATTTTACATTACAACAGTAGCGTAGCGAGGGGGGGGGGGGCGGGAGGGGGGACATTTGTCCCTGGGCGCCGACCTTAGGGGGCGCCAAAATGGGTTGGAAAAATAAATTGAAAGGTTGAGGGGGTGCAAATCGAAAGTTTGAGGGGTGGGTGCAAATCGAAAAGTTTGTCCCCGGGCGCCGGGAAGGGTCGCTACGCCTCTGCATTACAATGCATCTTGCTAGTTGTCCATTTTTTAAATAGTTCATTTTTTAAGCGTCTGTTTTTTCAGAGAGAAAGTAAGGCTATATAGTCAGCAAATTTGAAATTACACGTCGACTACCACGACTTGACAGTCGCATGCGTTTTCATTCTCATTCGTCGAGCAGGGGTAACACGAGGTTGGCAGTTCACGCTTGTTGCAAACAAACTTTGAGATAAAAATTCCCACAAGCGGAAGTTGGAGATATTTTACGATTTCCGTAATGGCTACAGATGTTCACAGAAGTCGCTGTGATCCAGGAAATGATTTGCTGTTGTTATCAGAGTTTCTTTCGGACACCTCTTGGGGAGGGGGGTCCTGAATAAATAATAATGTATACCGAAAATATAATCCACATGGCAGAAGGAAAAGAGGCAAACCAAGAAAGACCTGGAGACGTGACCTGGAAGAAGACACCAAGAAGATTGGATACATCTGCCATGGGGACAGTTGGAGAGACTAGCCCAGGACAGAGACGCCTGGAAAGCTCTTGTCAGCAGCCTATGTCCCAGGAGGGGCGACAGGCTAACCTAACCTAATTATATACCGAAAATATATTTTTTAACTAATGTACGCCCCCCTCCCCCCTCTATTGAAAGTTTCAATTTCCCCTGAGAAAATGTATGAAAGAAACACTATTTTACTTTTTTACAAGCTAGGAACAGAAAACTAGTGTTTTAAAGGAGCTCTATTTCGGAAGTGAATTTTGCAATCTGGATGAGAACCTGCTCACATTGGCATCCATGGGCACAGAAGAAAAATAATTACCAACCATCTTCACAATCATTGATCGGCGATAAATGCCACACTCGATTCATTTGCACCAACTTCGTATTCTGTTTTTAGTCAATGATCCAGGTACCATTTCGCAAACTAGCTGACAAAAATCAAGAAAAAAATCTGTGTGAAGAGATTTTTGCCATTTCCCGATTGGGCCGGTCAGTTCCCACTTTAGCAGACTTGGCTGAATATACGGCTTATGTCGACTCTAGAGATCAACCTAACCCTAACCCTCCATAGAAAATGTAAATTAGTGAAGATTCATCATATGACCAATAAAAAATAGCTTATGATTATAACATGCTAATCTTTCTAAAAAGAAGCCCTTGTGTTTGCTTCACATCTGTATTGCATAAATATAACTTAATTTGGTCAAATATATCCAAGGTAGCTTATCATTCTCCAAGCTCAAGCTGAGATAGACTAGATCAAGAATTGAAAATGAAATGACTGATTATTAAATTAGTATTAAAAATACAATAATTACGAGTGGGCATAATTAGAATAACGAGCTGTTTATGTAATATATTGAACGAGCCGACCCGCGGCGTATCATACGACGCCGCTATTTAATTGTTTTATTTTCTACTTTTCAGTAATTTATAATTTGTGAATTCGACAGTACCAATGCTGCCACTGAAAATATGCTTTAAAACACTATCAGTAGGTCGTTAAGGACGATACCACCCCCACCTTTCCCCCAACCCCCACCCTCCTTTCCCCCAACCCCTACCCTACACCCCCCCCAATGAAAGCAGCCTCCTCTTAGTTACCTCCCCTAAGTTTAAAATAGTTTCAAACTAAATTATCTGCTGCCCCTAATAGCCGTCACTAAACCCGCCTCTACGGTTGTAAACAGTTAGCGTAAACCACAGCTCGCCAGACCATGTGGGGATGGGGTGGTAGGGGCGCTTACAGCTTGGTGTTTTCTATAATATCCAAGAAGAGAATTATATATATAGATGGGTATATCAATAGTTTTTAACTCTATATGCGTTTGTAGTTGTAGGATAATCATTGCATTGCAGCCTCCAAGTTTTCTTTTAAATAAACAGATTACACAATAATTTAGAGTAGTGTTTCCCGGTCCTATGTTTTAGTTTAGTTGTATTAATAATTAGTGCTTACGACTTAATAATTACATAAAATTATATTATTCATGTTAAAAAAGCATTTATTCCGATATTGATTTTGATACTTTATCTTTAAAAATAAAATGCTACATAACTATTAATACTCCCCCCCCCCCCGCTCTTATATGAGTAAACCCTAACCGCTCTCCCCCTCCCCCATCTCTCTCTCTCTCTCTCTCTCTCTCTCTCTCTCTCTCTCTCTCTCTCTCACGGCTCAGTCTCAGGGGCGGAACTACCATGCCGCCAGACCCCGCAATGCAGGGGAGGACAGGACGTTTAGGGCAGAGGCGTAGCGAGGGGGGACATATCTCCCCGGGCGCCGACCTTAAGGGGCGCCAGAATGGATTGGAAAAACAAATCGAAAGTTTGGGGGGGGGTGCAAATCGAAAGTTTGAGGGGGTGCAAATCGAAAGTTTGTCCCCGGGAGCCGGGAAGGGTCGCTACGCCTCTGGTTTAGGGTCCGTTCTGACAAAAAAACAATGATTTTTAAAAAAATAAATTATGTTTTTCATGCTTCTTCATAGTGGTTTTATATTTTAAAAAAAACAGGTCTACTATTGCAGTGATTGTTCTACAGTTACTAACACACACATCTGCGTTGAAAAATATTTTAAAATCTACAAACTACAATAGCTATAGTTTGAAAGGTAGGCAAACGTTCACGCTACTTCAATGACTTACTGCCCTTCTTTAAAATAGGGGTGCCCATAAAGCTCATTTAAATAGTTTTGTACTATGTAAATTAACAAGCAATTGATTCTATTAAAAGTTTTTTTTTTTAAAACCTGAATACAAACATTTATAAAACACGATCATTTCAGGTACGAAGTGAGTTTGGACTTAATTTGTCTGGTTTGTTGTCTCATTATTTTTTTTGCCGGGGAGCCTTTTTTTCTAGTTCCGCCACTGCTCAGTCTACATTTGATTTTACTTGATGGAAAGCAAACGCAAACTGTTAATTTCAATCGAGGTTATCAATACCCACTCCATTAGCTCTTTAATTGTTAGTCACCAAATTAACATAAAATAACATTAAAGAGAAGGAGTTATTGACCATTGTTACTGCTGGGCTGGCCAGTGAAGAAAATATTTAGATGGCATATGGTAGTTTCGTATTACCTATCTGTAGTTGTGTTTTGAACGTTTGCACCAATGCACGAATTATATTATGATATAAAAAGACTTTCTCTTACTAATACTGGAGTTTTAAAATATTAAAAAATATTTTTTAAATCCAAACTACGAAACTACCTTTCAGGTGTAGACATCACGTGATACTTTACGTACTTCCTTTTCCCCTATGAGTCCCATTGATAGGACACTAACAATTTAGAACTAAGTTGTCCATCTGACTCATTTCAAGATGGTAAGTGTCATCAATTATATTTTACCTAAAATTATTGTTCTTAAATGAAAATGACACAAGTCTGAGTTTATATGAATACCATGGTAGTTAAATATTGACATATTTTTGCATTATAAAGTAACAAATATTGACCATTTGTTGTCAACGTCACCATTTTGCTAGTCTATTGAATAACAAAATACAGACTGAATGAGCATATTATTGAACATAGATATATAATATACGTCGAATTGATTTAGAGATCATTAGGAAGTTTGACTAGATTGTGTTTTTTGTTTGTTATTTCTTTGGTGTCTCAGATCTGGATGTCAGTTGTGTGCTTTTAATTAAGGTAGCTGACCAAAAAAATAGGGGAGGGTTGGGGGAGCTTGGTATTGAAACTTTATGTTCATTTGTTTGTAAACTATATTTGGCATAAAAGTGAAGTATAAAATGTCAAAGCTTTTTTTCTGACGATTTTAGATACAGATGTATCGATAATAAAGTATTTTAAGTGTTGGGTTGTAATCTCGACTAGTTTTAGGGGTTAGACATGATAGGTCAGAGGTAAGGGACAGGGCTAGCATTGACATTAGCAAGACACAAAAAATTGCCCCTTTTTTTCTAAAGATTATTCTGTTGAGCTGATTTGTACATTTCTTTTAAATAGGTGAACTTTTCAGTAGACGAGATCCGGGCTATTATGGATAACAAACGGAATATCCGTAATATGTCTGTGATTGCCCATGTTGACCATGGAAAGTCAACACTGACAGATTCTTTGGTCAGTAAAGCAGGTATCATTGCCTCAGCTAAAGCTGGTGAAACTCGCTTCACAGATACCCGCAAAGATGAACAAGAGCGCTGTATCACAATCAAGTCAACGTAAGATGCTTTTCATAGATTTTTAGATTTCCCAGTCAGTATTTTGTAGTTTCTCATAATAAAATAATTTTCTTGAAAATTTTCAGTGCCATCTCTCTTTATTATGAGCTGAATAAAGATGACATGAAATACATCAAGCAAGAGTATGACCCTGATAACAACCATTTTCTAATCAACTTGATTGATTCACCTGGACATGTTGACTTCTCTTCAGAAGTAACAGCTGCCCTTCGTGTAACTGATGGAGCCTTGGTGGTTGTTGATTGTGTCTCAGGTAATATATTGCATATTCTAGTTTGTTTGCAAGTGTGCCATATTTGAACTACTTCTCATCACATTTTTTTTCTCTCTAGGTGTCTGTGTACAGACAGAGACTGTACTTCGGCAAGCTATTGGTGAGAGAATTCGACCTGTCCTTTTCATGAATAAAATGGACTTGGCTTTGTTAACACTTCAACTTGAAGCTGAGGATTTGTATCAGACATTTCAAAGAATTATTGAGAATGTTAATGTGATTGTGGGGACATATGGAGAGGATGATGGCCCGATGGGTAACATCCAGGTAACTGGCATAATTCTTGATTATTTAATAAACACTTTTTGTTTGTTGTTTGTAATCTAACTTTTTTTCTTCTTTTTTTTTTAAAGGTGGATCCAAAGAATGGCACTGTAGGGTTTGGATCTGGATTGCATGGCTGGGCTTTTACTCTTAAGGACTTTGCTAAAATGTATGTTAGCAAGTTTAAAATTGAAGAACCAGCTTTAATGAAAAGGCTGTGGGGCAATCAATTTTACCATGCCAAGGATAAGAAATGGTATAAAGAGCAAACTCAAGGATCTGTGCGAGGATTCACCAATTACATTCTGAAGCCAATCTATGAGGTAATTTATCCATATTTTGTGAAACAATCTTGCTTACTGGTAGAAATTTTACAAAGATTTTGTTTTTATTGATGTAATTGTTTTGTGCAGATTTTCAACTTCTGCATGACTAAGAGCAAGGAAGAGGCTGTTGCTCTTGTTGAGAAATTGGGTGTGAAATTGACTTTTGAAGATAAGGAATTGGAAGGGAAACCTTTGCTTAAGGTTTGTATTTTATTTGCCTGGAATTGTTCTTTATTGTGGCATGTTTTTTTTTGTTTATAGTTTAAAGGCCTACATTTCATTCACATTTGCAGGTGGTAATGAGAAAATGGCTTCCAGCTGGGGATGCTATGCTTCAGATGATTGTTATTCATTTACCATCACCTGTTACAGCCCAAAAGTATAGAGCAGAGCTTCTGTATGAAGGTCCTTTTGATGATGAATGCTGCACAGGTTTGCAATTCAATTTGAGTTTATTAAGTGTTCTGTACTTTTGATAGTTATTTTTTTACCCGGCTTATCAATGTCTGCTGTTCTTTTCATTTTATACTTCAATATTTATGATAATCTTTTAGTTTTTCATTCGAGTACATTGTTTTTCAGCCATCAAAGCCTGTGATCCTAAAGGCCCTCTTATGATGTACATTTCCAAAATGGTGCCCACAACTGATAAAGGTCGTTTTTATGCCTTTGGTCGTGTTTTCTCTGGAGCTGTTGCTACTGGTCAAAAAGTGCGCATAATGGGTCCTAACTATTTACCAGGAAAGAAGGAGGATTTGTATGAAAAAACCATTCAAAGGTATTTTGATGTTGCTTTAAATTTATGTTAATTAGATTAAGTTGCATGAAGTGGCTATTTTTCTCCTCACTATGTTCTATTTTACAGGACAATTCTTATGATGGGTCGTTACACAGAATCTATTGAAGATGTACCTTGTGGTAATATCTGTGGTCTTGTTGGTGTAGATCAGTTCTTAGTCAAGACAGGTACCATTTCAACCCACAAAGATGCACACAATTTGCGTGTGATGAAATTCAGTGTCAGCCCTGTTGTCCGTGTTGCTGTTGAGTGCAAAAATCCTTCTGATTTGCCAAAATTAGTTGAGGGTCTCAAGAGACTGGCAAAATCAGATCCTATGGTTCAGGTATGCTTCTCAGTTCCTAGGTTGGTGTTGATTTCAGTTGAGTGTTGCAATGTGTTAACTGTTTTTTGTTTTCCAGTGCATCATTGAAGAATCTGGAGAGCACATTATTGCTGGTGCTGGTGAGCTTCATTTGGAGATTTGTCTGAAGGATCTTGAGGAAGATCATGCTGGAATTCCAATCAAGGTCTCTGAGCCTGTTGTATCTTACAGAGAAACTTGCAGTGCGGAGTCTGAAATTATGTGCTTGGCAAAGTCTCCAAATAAACATAATCGTTTGTTTATGAAAGCTGCTCCATTGCCAGAGGGTTGTGCTGAAGCAATTGACAAGGTATTATCAATTTTTTCCCCATTATACCTGTCCATGTGATGTCCGCTCAACGTTATCTTGATTGCGGGAGAAAAATCCTGGCGCACACAGTCGAGGGGTCACAGAGTTCACTTTGGTTTATACATCAGTGGTGTAGGCCTATATAATACTTCATACTATTCATAGCAAGAACAGTTATTTAAGGTTTTCCATTGTCGCCTTACATTCTGAATTTTAAAAATGGTAATTAGTCCATTTCTTTAAAATATAAAATAGTATGAGTTACGTAAAGTATAAAGTAGTATGAGTTACGTAAAATATAAAGTAGAATGTGTTACGTAATGTTTCTGATTGTCATCATTATGCTGAGCTTTTATATAAAATTTGTCTTATTTACATTGTACAAAAAAGTAAAAATACTAAAAGTTACAGACTATCCAATTATTGCTGAAAATCTGCTCGTTAACGGAAAAAAATTTAAGGGTAGGCAGTCCTCGTATATAGACAGAGTCCTCGTATAGACCGATTCTAACTACCTATTACAATATATTTGCTTTAAAGTTGTGTGGTATTCTTACTGCTACTCCGTTTTCAGGGTGACATTGCTCCACGCCAAGAAGTGAAAGAACGTGCTAGATTTTTGAGTGAAAAGTTTGACTTTGATGTGACAGAAGCCAGAAAAATCTGGTGTTTTGGTCCCGAAGGAACAGGTCCAAATCTTTTGGTTGATTGTACTAAGGCTGTTCAGTACTTAAATGAGATCAAGGATAGTGTTGTTGCTGGTTTCCAATGGGCAACCAAAGAGGTAATTATTTTCAGTTATTAAATAATAAAAAAAGATTTAATATATTCAATAGGAAGTTACATCTGCTATTGTCAATTCAACTTCTGTTCTCTATTTGCAAATAGGGTGTTCTTTGTGAAGAAAACATGAGGGGCTGCAGGTTCAACTTGTATGATGTTACCCTTCATGCTGATGCCATTCACCGTGGTGGTGGTCAGATCATCCCAACAGCAAGAAGAGTCTTGTATGCTGCAGCTCTTACAGCAGAGCCCAGGCTTCTGGAGCCAGTTTACTTGGTTGAAATTCAGGTGTGTATTGTACTGATCTGCGTATTTTAATTATGTAACTGTTTCAATATATTTTTATTACTGTACATTTCTATATTTTTTAGTGTCCTGACCAAGCTGTAGGTGGCATATTTGGTGTTCTGAACAGACGTCGTGGTGTGGTCTTTGACAACCAACAGATTGGCAATACTCCTCAGATTACAGTTAAAGCTCACATGCCAGTCAATGAATCATTTGGTAAATTTCATGCTTTTTTTATTGGAAGTTATGTAGATTTTAATTATGTATGGAATACAAAATATCACAATATTCTTTATCTCACAGGGTTCACTGCTGACTTGCGCTCAAATACTGGTGGCCAAGCTTTCCCACAGTGCGTCTTTGATCACTGGCAAATCCTCCCCGGTGACCCTAGGGATTTAACTACTAAACCAGGCCAAGTTGTTCTTGCTTCCAGAAAACGCAAGGGTCTGAAAGAGAGTATTCCACCACTAGACAATTTCTTGGACAAGTTATAATGTCTAATTGCTTCACATTCGGCAACATGGGTCAGAATCTACATGCTAATATAAAAGTTACACCTGGTGTAGTGAAAATATTCTTGAGTTGTCTTCTTTCTGAAAATGATCTTATGGTTTTGCTGGTATTTATCTTGAGGTCAGATATCCAAACTTTGTCCAGTGTAAAATTTTGTCAATAAATAAAAAGTACAATTACTGATCAGTTTTTATCTTTTATGTATGTTTGTGGGTGATGATGTATTGCAAAGGTGCCTATCTGCCGAAGTAAATTGGACTATTTGACAGCAGTATTTCAAACTGCTAATACATTTATGTTGGAAATCACTACAATAGTAAAGTTAAATGTCAACAAATTTACTATGTACTCAAACGAGTACTGGTAAACTGGTTTGTAAATGGTGGTTGTAGAATAGAAGTATATTGATTTTCAAAAGCCCACACAAAGGATTCCCTGAATATCTAATCTGGAGTACATTAACTAGGAAAAGCGCTTTCCCCTTCCCAAAACTGGAACAGTTACAGAGACGCCTGGAAAGCTCTTATTTTCCATCGGCCAATGTCCCAGGAAGGAGACAGGCTAACCTAAACAAAATTACCACAGCCGCACACAAACCAGGGGAGATAAGATATCCATGAATTGTTGCTGAAATTAATTGAATTTTTTCCCTTTGAACGTAAAAAACCTGTTTTTGGTTGGAATAAAAAAATTACTGATTAAATTACGATTTTTACTGTTCCTATAAATCGTTTTTAGAGATCTGGATACAGCAATATTATTTGCTGAAAGATTTTACTGATAAATTTATACTTAACTGTAATAGATCTAAATGAAAGAGGCATCGATAAATAGTTGAGTTGATTTGAGTTATCAATTATTATATTTGTGCTAGATATGATGTGCCATTTATATTTATTTTACTTAGGTCGTTAATATTATTCTTCAATTATATTAATTAATGTATAATATTAAATTAAAAATTAGGCCTAAACATTACTAAACAAGTAAACATAATTATCCTGGACAATCATCCAGGCTAAGATAGCCTTGGCAACCCTCTAGTAACATCAGGTCTAGATTCCATAAACCAAAGAGTATAAAGTTCAACGAATTGTTAAACACAAATAGTTGAAATACATCTAGAAACTTATTTCTAGATCTAGAATGTAGATCTCCATCGAATCGAGTTTCATTCATGCTAATGCTTATACTATTCCCGGTATTCCGCTATTAACTTTATGTACGGTACTTTTCTGGATTTAGCCCGACCCAAACAAACCTGTAGCCTAAGTTTAAAGTTTACTTCTAGATCTAGTTTAAAATAACTAATATTATGGCCTTCTTTTTAGGGCCTTGACTTAAATATTCTTTGCAGTGATGGTCGATTGATTGAAGAATGATGCAATATAGGTCTTTAAAAAATTATTACACCTTGACTATAATATTCTATGCAGTGATGATTGATAGTTGTTGATAGAATGATTATGATTTTTTTTTAATGATTATGATGATGCAATTACAACCGAAACACACAAAAACTTTAGGAAAATTTGGGCTTATTTCTTTATGAAATTGTGATTTAGTTTTGATAAATTAGATCTAGATTTAGATCTCGATCTAGAATCTACTTAAATTTACTTTTGTCAAAACTTGAGAAAAATCCAAATTTGGAATATTGAATGTGCTGCTATGTTCGTGTCAGTTAAGAATAAGATATTCATGGCAATGGGTGAAGTATGAAACACACAATAACAATTGCAGGGCGGTTAAGTTTGTATTGTTACAACAAGTAGATTCTAGATATATAATCTCCCATGCATGATACTTACTTAAACTTATGAAAGTGAAGCATCGGATTATAACTTAGAAATGTAGCCTTACTTAAACTCAAAGAATTATTATTGTTCTCTGGATTTGCAACTTTTATAACATTGATTCTAAAAATATTAAATTTCTGAATAATTTTTAGGCTTAAGTTTTTATTATTTTTACAGCTGCTATGAAGTCAAAATATTAAAAAAAAGGAAGGATTCTTGTCAACTCGCTGGTGTCCATTAATAATTATAATTATAAATAATGTCTAAGTCTTAATAATATAAAGGGTTAGATCTATATGCCTGCAATTAACTTTAAACAGCAGTAACTTTAAAACATAAAACCTCATAAAATTGTTAAATAATTATTAAAATTTCATTAGTCACTTTTCTGTCACATTCCTAGCTTCAGCCAATTTTTTTTCACTAATTAGTCATGTGAGCCTAGACTATAAACAAATTTAATTTATCAGGCCTGTTAAATTTAAGTAATATAAACATTAGTCTAATATTATATAATGAATATATAAGCTTATATATATATATATATATATATATATATATATATATATATATATATATATATATATATATATATATATATATATATATATATATATATAATTCAATGTATACATTTAACAAATTATTTTTAAAATGTATTATTTTTTTAGGTCCTCAACGCTAGAAATATACTGCAGCACTGCAGTTGGATTCATTTTGTTCTTTGGCATTGTGCATGGAATAATAGCAGGGAAAATCTCATTGGAACACTTAGACCATTTCTTTATTGTAGGTAAGAACAAGCTTAGCATATAAATGGTATGTATTAAGTTCTGTTTACTGAACTAAATAGCTTCAACTGGATTGGATTGCTATATTTTAAAGTTCCAATTTTTTTGTTTGTTTGTAATGTTGTTACTAGGTACTAATAACTAAAGAAAATGGATATCTTGTTCTTGTTTTTCTTTAATTATATATAATGTCAGGAGGGATTTCCTCCAACACAGTTGTTATGCAAGTTGTTATGCGCCATATAGTTGACTCTGGTTGCTGCCTACTTTTCTTTCTGGATCTACATCCATAGCCTTTGTCCAACCAAGAACAAACTGCAAGGCATCAGTGGTATGATTTTGGAGAAGAAGAAGATAGTTATTTCAATATTAATTTATCTTTTATTTTCTATACAGGTGCTATTGTTATTGAGTATCTTCTTTTGTTGGCTTTCTCTAGAAACAGCTCATTCATTTCAAGATGCAGGCATCATTACAGGTTACCCATTTTATAAAGATATCATAAAACATTTTTATTTTATTTTACATATTTGTAAGATTCGTTTTTTTTTACAATAAATATAATCTAACAACAAAAATTCTTACTTTAGGCCAAATTCATCTCCAGGCAGCTACATTATCCTGCTAGTTCCAGTATCCCTTTTTGCTGAAATACTTTCCTATAAGAATGTTGAAGGTAATATGTAATCTCAATTATTATCATGCTTGTAATGTCAGGAATCAAGTTTAGATTTTATTTTAAAATATGCCTATTTTTCTTACAAAATTTATCATCAATCTTATCATTATTAAAACAAAGACAGAAGTGTTTTGTTTTAATTACATGTGTGTTTCTTTACAGAAAAAAACACCCTATATCAAGAGACTTGGCTAAGCCTAATTGTAACTGGTGCTGTCATTTTCAAGCTTCAAAGAGATTGTATAGATTGGCTTCAACTGTTTATTTTTCTAGGACTGATGTCTTTTCTGGGTGTCATTTTTGGATGTAAGTTTTTTTTTCATCTTTTATCTGGTTTCATAATCATGCAGTTGAAAGTGAACAATGAATTAACAAAATCTCAAAAGTTGGATATTGTCAGGATTCCATAGTTAGTCATACATTTTTAGACTGTATAGTGTATAGTCTTCATAAACAATTGTGTGTTGTTTTATGACTATTATTTGTTAAAATCAAATTTTAAAAACATTTTAGGTGAGACAAATCACAGCATTTAGTTGGTGAAAATTTTGGCTTCATTTTTAGGGTTGTCACTTATTATGCTGATTTCATTTGGCTTAACATGGAAAGGAATAGAATTAATCCCTGCTTATCTACCAAAATCTTTTACTCTGGGGGAGATAACTGTACTCTTGCAACTCATCATTGGCTGCGCCAACAGACTCATATTAGCACATAATCAGGTAGGTTGTTTTAATACAAATCATAACTATTCTTTGAAAAATTTGATGAAAAACTAATGGGAGAGTTCAACTTATCTCTTTTTCATTTACAAAAAAATGTCAGTAAACTATTTCACACATGAAGGGCTTGGGTTGTTAGTTTAATTTAATAATCAAATGTTATCAAAATTAAAAAAATCATAACTATAACAGAATAATTTTTTTATGTTCCAGACTGATGACATGGCTTCTGAAGACACCAAATTAATTTGGTTTGTTTGTGTATGTGTAGTATAGAATTATCATAGTTTAGTTATTATAAAAATGACATTATTTTGATATCATGTAAAAATCTCACTGGGGTGTGTATTTTAGCTACAGCTCCAGATTTTATCTCCTGGGGGCTCCGCATGAGATCTATCCTGTTTTTCCCCATGTAATATTAGCATTGTCTCAGATAAAAATATTTGTATTTAACATTTTAGATGAACTTTTATTTTTTACAAGTGGACATCCACAAGAAAGAGTTAGGGGTTTAGCCTAGCTATTTTTGTGTGTGCACAACATAAATAGATATTCCCTTATAACATTTTACAATTGTCTTTTGCAGACTGCTGTTACTGCCATAATTTTTGCCACCTGGCTCGCATATGTTACTTCTTCATTCAGCAGTCTATGGAGTTTCATATCTGTTTATTTGATTGTAGCCATTTTATCTTATGTGTCTCTTTACTTTACCTTTAGACAAGATCCAATAACTTGGTTTTGCTTGTACATCACACAAAGTTGTGTACAGGTAATAATTTATTATAGTATGTAAAACATAGATTAATACATTAAGTATTTATTTGGTACTCAAATATAGGACTGTTAGGTAGTTAAACAAAAATTTAATTAGAACAAAGACTCAATTTAAAAGAAGTATTTCTTACATTTTTGCATGAGTATCAAAGTTTGTGTTGAAAATTTTCGTTTAAGGTATTTCTCATTATTTCCTGGACTGTTCTTCTAATGGTGGCAATCCTATGGACTGTAGCAGAAGGAATAAGAATGATGGAAAAAAAACATTTTGCCCATGCATTTAATAATGGGAGTGAAAAAGCTCCTTCAGAAGACAAGCAAAGTTCCACCTGTCATAAAAATGTTACATGTAACACACGTAAAGTCTTTCACCTGTTTATTGTTTTGGCATATATTCCTGGTCTTGTTTTGGATGCTCGCCTACTTTTACTGGCGTCACTTCTAACTTTGGGAGTTTTTATAATTCTTGAGGTACATTTTTACATTTATTGTTTTTTAATTATTAAAAAAAACATGAATTATTACAGTATCAGTAATTTAGTTCAAACTAAAATATTATGGAAAAAATAATTTTATTTCAGGCTGCCCGGGCGTTCCATGTACCTTCAATTGGAAAACCACTTGATGATATTCTAAGAATGTTTGTTGATGACAAAGACCAAGGTCACATTTTTCTTACACACATATATTTACTCATAGGAATGTCTCTTCCACTGTGGATTTCCCACCGGATTTTTTCAAGTAATTTTTAAAAAATTCATTGCTCTTTGGCAAATTAGACGTTTTTAATAGATCTTTTGTCCATGAACTTTTTACTTGTTTTTATTCTATTAATTTTTTATTATTGGAGTTCCCCTTAATTTCTTAAAAGTCTTAACTGTTTGTTGACTAGGTTATGAACTTGTGAGGCCTCTTGGTAAAGAATTCTATGACAATTTGAAACTATTGAATTCTTAAGCAAATTAATAGCAATTAAATAAAAATTTTTCCCCAGCAACAGACACTGACATTGTTATGTTCAGTGGTTTGATGTCTATTGGTCTTGGTGATACAATGGCTTGTGTTGTTGGAAGTAATTTTGGAAGGATTCATTTCCATGGTAATTGTTAATTACTTTTAACAAAGTGTCCTCTAAACTATTTATTCAAAATTTATTTTATAGTGCTAAATTGCAACTTGATTCATATGAGGTTATAGACCTTAAATCAGCCAATTCAAAGACACATGTGCATATCAATGAAAACATTATTCAAGCCATTAGTTGTCTTGTTTTTATACCATTAAAATCTGGGATTATCAATGATGTTCTGCTACCTTTGATCTGTATAACCCTGATGTGTATATTACACACTGGTCAACTGAAAAGGTTTAACAGAGTATCTTGGTGTGCTAAAAAGGAATATAACCATAAGGATTTTTTTATTGGCTTTAGTTATGAAGACAGTTCATGTATTACATTTTATGTGTCAATTTATCCAATAGAACTAAACCAAATGTAAAGTCAACCAAGAATATTGTAAGATTGTACTACATTACCCAATAACCCACACCTTGCAGAAACAAATGAACAACATCTTCAGACAGGCTTTAAAAAAAACTAAGAGCTAAGTCAAAACAAAGTTGTAAAAGATCAGCCAGAATGCCATTACCTAACTCAGATGAACCGTCCAAAACCGAGTACAGTGAAAAGGCATAATTGCATTACCTACAATCTACAAGGGTCTGGAGGAATGAGCATATTCAAACATTGTGTGTGAATTCATATTCCAGATCCTCAAGGGAAATATTCTCATGATCCATCGAATGATAAGAGTGAACTGATCTGTTCTACACACTCCATCAGCATGCAGGGATCCAGGCAAGCCATTATTACATCATCAGAATCATCAAAACATCACTTAGTACAAAACAAGAGCAAGATATTTTTGAACATTATACAGTTGATACAGTGCAAGAAAATGACAAAGATTAGTTTTAGAAGTTGATTGCAGAAGTTGAATAACCAACTTGGAAGAAAGCATGGTCAACATGCCATGATGCTCCAGCTTAAAGAATGGATCCCAGCAGATACCTCATGATTCATTTATCTGGAGCAAATATGTCTGAGTCAATTTGACGGGAGCCATTATGTTGTGAGCCCATTTGTCTGGAGCCCATATGAGCCAATATGTCAGAATTCAATATGTCATGAGCCAGTTTGTCTGGAGCCCTATCGCCTAGAGCAAGTATGTCATGAGCCTATTTGTTGGTAGCCAATATGTTGGGAGCCATTTTTTGGTTTCTATGTCTACTTTGATGTGCCACCAAGGGATGTACTTTATTAAACTTATTGACATCTCCTTATCACATATGTATATCTATTATGAGTAATATGAAATTCAAATGAAAAAATACACAACATACATTTAACTAAAACAATTTTTAAAAAACAAAATTTTTCAGACAGCAAAAAAACTGTAGAAGGAGCTTTAGCTTCGTTTGCTACTCAGATGTTGTTTATTACTTTGATGCAAGCTTTTGGTAGGTTTATCTTTGTATCTACGTATTTAGGTACTATAATTTAGAGTTATAGCAAAATATTTCTTATGGTCTTTTAAGCATACTGTAAATGTGTGCATATTCAAGAGCACATTTCTATATTTAATTCTAATCTATTTTTAACAGGTATCTTACAGTTCAGATGTTTGGTCTCTGTAATAGCAGGAGTGGGGATGAACTCCCTTTTTGAATCTTTAACAGATCAAATTGATAATTTAGTGCTACCTCTTGTTTTATATCCCTTTTTATGCATCAGCTAAGAATTTCTGTTCAAATTTGTTGGCTCAGCTTTAGGTCAGTTTATAATTTATATGTTGATTTTATCACGAATGCAGCAATTGTTAAATTTATTAATTTTTTTAAAATGAATGTATGTAACACAAAAGTATTTTTAAAATAAAAAATTGCAAATGTGTATTTTTCTTAAGTTTTGAATTGTTATCCAATTATTATAAATTATAAAGGTGAACACAGAAACAGGTGAACTCAACTTCACTTAACCATGAACCATCAGGTTCGAAAAGGGAACTTACTATTAAGTTTTAGTTAATTAATTTAATTTATCAATTACAAATACATCAATATAAACATGTGGCTGACTAGTGAAAAGATGAGTAGTAGGGTGGGAAAGCGCTAAATTGCTAACCTGAAAGTCGAGAGTGTAGTTCCTTGATCCCAGGGGAGATGAAAAGACATGAAACCATTCAGAAAACTAAAAAATCAACTGTTGCCTAGGGTGAACTACGGCAATGGAAAACACATCTAAATATTAAAGCAAACTGAACAACAATGTGCACTGGAAAATGTGACTGGGGTGTCATGGGAGCCACCTGTTACATTATTACAGGTATACCTGTGTTGGTTTAGTCATTGATTGTAATAGTCCCCATATCTTTAGTATAAATTGATCTTTAAAACAAATGAAGTCACCATAGCACACATGGAGGAGCTCAGGTTAATAAAACCACCAGGGTGCCAGAGGGCACCTCTGATGTAGTTTGACATGTGATTCAAGCAGATTCCAATGCAGGATGTCCAGCCTCAACACTTTTCTCTACTATTAAAATGGGGGGGGGGGAGTGCCTTGCATGACTACATTGTTTTGCACCATCCACAACTGGTATAACTGTCCTTATCAAGTTCCTACACAATTTCTCCATTTTTCCCTATTGTCTGGATCAAATGCAGTTTATGAGCAAATGTTCAGTGACAGAGTGCAAATTGTTAGAAACAATTAATAAAGTGCCATATATATTATATATACATACATATATATATATATATATATACATATATATATACATATATATATATATATACATATATATATATATATACATATATATATATATATATACATATATATATACATATATATATATACATATATATATATATATATACATATATATATATACACATATATATATATATATATATATATATATATATATATATATATATATATATATATATATATATATATATATATATATATATACATATATATACATATATATATATATATATACATATATATATACATATAGATATACATATATATACATATATATATATATATACATATATATATACATATATATATACATATATATATATATACATATATATATTTACATATATACATATATATATATATATATATATATATATATATATATATATATATATATATATATATATATATATATATAAAGTATATAGATTGGCTATATGAAAAAAATTAGTTTCTTTGTCTAACATTCTTTCAATCAAAATAAAAAAAAATATATAATTTAATTAGGAATTTTATACCAGTGTCGTCGCCCTCACATTTCTCCCCCCCCCCCCCCCCCTCCCCACAGACACACACTGAAAATGTAAGTGCTCCCCTACTCTCTGAAGGTTTCAATTACTGCTTCCTGATGAGAAAAATGTCTGAAATAAACTATTATGTTTAGCAACTATCATGTTTAGCACAGAAGGAATTTTTTTTAGCGTTGTTCGATCGAATGTCTTTTTTTTTTAAGAAGTGGAAATAGGAATCAGTCCCCGTCCCCCCTTCCGCCTCCCCCACTCATATCTGCTGAAAGTTTCACGAACAATGTTTTATTAAAAGAAAAAAAAAGCTAGATCTATGTTAATTGAAGAATTAAAAGGATCTTTAAAAATAACTCTCAAGGCGTTACCACATAGATCTATATAATATATATTTTTACGGTTTGGTTGTGAGATTTTTTTCCAACGTGTTAGATTCTAGTAAAGAGATAACTCTGCAACAGACGACATTGGGTCGAACTATTGACGCCCTAGGACCAAATATGTGCCAGTTTGGGTATTAACATTAAAGTTAATATGATTTGATAATTAATTATTTTAACACGTTTTAAAAGATTATGTTTAAAGAATATGCCCTATTAGCGTTTCCTTTTAGTACTATGTGGTGGAGTTTCTTTAACTGCAAGCTCTATTGTAGCCTATAGTGTCAACATCCAATTGATAAACTATTCTGTACTTAAGCTCATATTTAACTTAAATTGTTAATTAATGAGATCTTATTAAAAATATAGTAAACCATATTAGCAAAAAAAATTGATCAGATGGTTAAAAGGACACTAATTGATTGATACTAAAACACCGAGTTTTCAAGCAAAAAACCTCAACGTTTTAGCATTCAAATGTATAAATCTGGCTTGTACGAAAACGTAAAATGGCTGTGTAATGATCAACACTGGTCTGGTTTAGTGCCAGTATATTGAGTATATGCCCTCAATACTTCAATAATATTCAAATCGTAACGTTTGATTGTTTTGTTTAAAATTTGTAAAAAATGTACAGGTTTAACTGTTGATAAGAAAACATAAACTATGTATACAATATGTTGACCTAGTAAAACAATAAAGTTAAAAGTAGGGTAGAAATCTGTAGCCTGCCTGGCCTAGGCTCTGTCCTAGGATAAGATCGAATTCATTGTTTCTGTGTACGTACAGTTCTTACAGTAACTCTATCTAGATCTAGTAGTAGGGTAGACCTTAATGGCTTAGCTTAGAGTAGAGCCTTAGAATGTAGATATTGTAGACTTGTTCAGTAAATTTGAAGATGTCTTAAGTCTAAAGAATTAATAGAAAGAGTAGGCCTAAGCCTAAACTAAAGATTTAAAGAAAGACTAAAATTTTAATCTAGGCCTAACTGCTAACTTTAATTAACTTACAATACTTAGAACAATATCAGAGCAAACACACATTGCAGCAAACACTATGTCGCCTGCACATAAACTATTCATTTATGAACACCTCTGTGTCAAGTACTTTAATTTTCCTTTTCAAGAATTATTTTTAGAATTTTTAAAATGTTGCATGGTACGCACATTTCTAATTTTACACCACCCTAGATCATAGATGAAGTGACCTAGGGTTGGACAATGGCAAAATTTTAACCTCTCAATGCTTAGCCTAGCTAAAAGGTTACACCATAAATAGCTTCTATATTATATCTATGGAACAGCGTAATCGGCAAGGTTAATGGGGTTTTTCTACTTGAATTTGAATAATGAAAAATTGGTGTTCGCTCTTTACATTGGAGCAAACGGCAGCACAAACAAATGTTATTAAATAGGAATTCAGAGTTAATTAGATCTAGAATCTATCTAGTGATTTAATTCTATAAAGTAAAAACACTATGAATATGTTAAGTAAAACATTAGCCCACTATTGGAGGCAGATATGAGTTTAATGGTCACTGGTAATAGAACAACTGAACATTTAGAAAAAAGGCTGCATCTCAAGAATATCTCAAATTCTATGTGTAGGCATACAAAATGAAACATATTATTACAATAGAATAGTTGCAGAGTATTACTGCATTTTCTTTTTTTCGTGACCCAATTGAATTTGGGACTTTTTTTGCTATCTGTGTTTGCAGATTGTAAGTTACTCTAGATCTATCTAGATTCTAGATTTTCTAATGGTTTAGATTAGGCTATAAAAAAATGTAAAAAAAAATGACTCTGGAAAACAAGTAACTAATGTGACGTCACATTTCAAATAGCATGTGAACTCAATGACCCCAGGCCCTCACACTTGTCAGAATTTTCGTCCTGCTGGCAAGAAAATGTGAACCTGTGATCACACGCTATTTAATTGTAAATTAATAAATAAGCGTTAGGTGCAACAGTTATTCTATGTTTTTTCCCTGTTCTAATTAAAACAAAAATTCATAAAAACAAAGCAAAAAATAAGTAGAATCTAGATCTTATGATTTTGAGTGTTTCTGCTGTGTTTATAGTAAATATTAGTTTTTCTTACTAAATCTAGAATTTACCCAAATTTCAAATTAAACATGACTACTGAATGATAGACATCCATATTTAATCCATTAGGCACTAATTTTGGCGTTTTAGTTCGTTTTAAACGAAATTACTTAATTTAATATTTATTGACACTCACAAAAATGCACAACACACCTCTCCATGACAACTCTTCTTACGCTTGAAGCTAAAGAAAACCACAAATAGGTTAGACTTTTTAAGTGGCCATGTACCGGAAGTTCCCCACTAGTGATCATCAAATAGCGATCACGTGGTTTAAAAAAATAAATAAATTTGGTTGTCATTCAAAAGTCGTGTCTTATTTTAAAAAGCGCATGCAATATTTGATTTATTTCTTCATATAGGCCTAATGATAAACCTAATAGTTCTACAACCTCCAATTCATTTTTGTGACCTCCGGGCTGATATTTTAGAAGTTCTATTAATTTTAATGAGACCGACTTTTAAATTTAGCCTTCATTCTCCAAAGCAAATTTTAAAATGCTTTTCTGGAATATTTAGCCTTGCCACCTATAGCATGTTTTTATAGCGTGAAAACCCGCCATTTTACTCGTGATAAACATTTTTAAAAGTAATTCTAAGAAGGTCTCTGGAACTAAGACGATAAATCGTCGGAAGTCATGCATCCGGTCCGTACGCCATATTGTTGGTAGCAACCGGCCACGCCTCCGGGTTAGCGAGAAATACTAGTAAATATGCTCTTGCTGGAGGGAAATATAAAGTGGGTAATAAAATACGCTAAATGGAGTTGTAAACTCTAGATCTAAATAAGTTTGTGCCTTAAACTTGGTGTTTTGTTAAAATAAATATGTTTTGCAATTATGTTAAATTAGGAAATAATGTCTGGAAGAAACACTGAATGTGTTGCTTCCATGTTCACTAATTTTATTGATTGTATTCATAGGCCAATGGCATATATATCAAACTATATCTGTGGTTTTAAAATACTCACTGTAAAAATAACATCATGACTAATAGCTCAGTTGACATTTGGGGCTTCTAACAACCCCTCTGCCTACACCACTGTCATCAGCAAGACTTCTTGAAATCATTGATACTGCTTATATTAGTAACCATAGGAAATAATATTAAAGTCTTAACAGCAATACTATTTGTAAAAAAAAAATAGCATAGACCCTATTAAATTAGCAGTCTTATAATATAGGCATCATGACCAATTTCCAGCCATTTAGTTTGTTATATATCACTTAGGATTAACATATTAAACATGTTTATAAGCAAAATAATATGTATATTAAACAAGCTAGGAACCTGAGATTTTATCAGGACTGGATATTTGTTTCTTAAAAATGTTTTTTTTTTAAAAAATAAAGTACATAACTTAATCCAATAGCTATATTCTTACTTAATTAGACCTTATATTTCATACTTGCTATTAAAATAAGATTATATTTGACTTCTTGGCCTTCTGTACTGCTTAGCATTTGATTATAATGTCAATGTATTATTTTCTTGTTAAGGTATTATGTAGTTGTAAAATCAATAGAACTTAGAGCAGTTATTTTTCTTTGTGTATGAACTGACAAAGTAGGTCAAGTGTAGGCAGTTTGAAGCTGCTGTTAATCAATGATAGTTGCATAATTCTGGAGTAGATATTATACACAGCATGGCTAAAGTTTGAATTTCTCTTATGGATGTTAAAGATAACATTGTGTTTTAGTGATAATCCTTAAATACTTTGCTCAGAGTAACAATAACACCATGCTGTTTATTTTAAAACAGAACATGGATAACCATCATAACCTTGATGGCTTTGAAGGAATTCCCCTAGACTTGTGGATGAGCCAGTTACAACACCAAGAGTCATCACGAAATAACCTGTCCACTAATGTTTTTCACCAGCCAGCTGGCACGGCTATGAGGGATTACTTCTCATTGCCCAGTAGGGCCATGCAAACAACTTTTACAATTGGTAATTAATTTACTAGTCATGATATTCAATATTTTATCATGCATTTTAATTTTAAACTAATTAAAAAATTACAGTTCTTAACTTGGTAAGTTGTTATGGTCTTTAATTTTTTTTTAATTCAAAATTGATATCTTTTACTAGATTTATTTCCACATGTATTTTTTATTGTTACTCTTTTATTTTTCAGGTGATACCTTGTCTCAAATGGAGCAGGAGCATGAAGTGATGGCATCTTCCGGGCTATCTGCATATAGCCATTCTTATTTTCCTACTCAGACACATCAAGCAGATCGATCTGCTTGGACTCATATGTTGTCCTTGAACCAGTCCTTAGAATCTCAATTATCCCCAAGTCATAATTCAATAAGGGATTTAAAAAACAGATTTTCACAAGAAAGTAATAATGAGAGTTGTATAGATGATCCATTACCATTGATTAAAAACAATTTAGGGCCAGTAACATCTTCCAGTGGCAATCTACCTAACAGGTTACAGTTTTCACAAGCTTTAAACAGCAATGCTTCTCTTACTAGTTATTCTGACCATGCTTTGCCTAGCACAACACATGAGAAAATGGCCCACCATTTAACTCATTCTATGGATTTGTCAAAAACGGCCACCCAGGCTTTAAACATATCAACAGATGTGTCAACTTTAGAGTCTGGTGGATATTCACCTGTTTCACCCCCAGCAGCTATATCAGAGGAGCTTTCTATTGCAGGACCTAGTCATAGTACAGGACATGGTCCTGAATTTTTTATGAGAGATCATGGTGATGCTATAGCATCTGCCTTTTCCTCTTTTTCATCATTAGATCACTCAGACTTGTTTGGGTACATCCCTGAAAAATCCGACACATACCAAGCAGCTTCATCCTCCAAGGATAATGTATCACATTCACTACCATCTCATCTTTCTTTAATGACAAACTGTTTGCCTAGCCCATCTGACACACCCCTAGACATGACTACTGTATTCCACTCAAAGAAGGAGAATAGCCAAACACCAGCTGATTTGTCATCCACCACCAGGCCAGAGTTAGACAATAACTCTTCATTGATTACCAACGCCAATGAAACTGTTAAATCACAACTTCTGCAAACTTTGCTTGTTAAAAGTCAATCTACAGCCACTGATACTGTGACTAGCGAGAAGCCAAATGACATCAAACCACAGCTTGAGATACCTGTTTCTCAACTGCGGAAATTGTGTTCTAAGCCTGTCAAAAGCACCCCAAAAAAGTCCAACTTTTATGGGAGAGATGCTTCTCTTTTTTCATTTCTTTCAGAGCCTTCAGTGGGAGATTCTATGCATCCAAGCCTAGAAGATGCAAAAAACAAATATGAGGAAATAAAGACTGAGGACCAAGGGGTTGTTACTGATAAAATCACTGAGTCCTCATCGACAGATATTTCCCTTAAAATCAACTCTGGTACAGATTTGATTATTAGTGGAAACGCTGAATTACTTGATTCTGATTTTAAATGTCTTTCTGAAAATATGTTGACTGATGCATCAGTTATGGAGAAAAACCCATTACTTTCTGATTGTAATTCAAGTTTAGCTCAGTCAGTTGACTCTTTCATTGAAGCCTCAACAGCAAAGGACGACGATAATTTTAAAACTAAAGAATCTGAGCCCCCAACCATGAATATGGAAGAAGGAAATTCTAACTCTGAAAGGATTCTGACAAATACAAATAATTTAATGGAAAATTGTGAAACTTTAAATACTGTTGATAATGATTTAGATCAGGAAACAGATTGTGAACAAGGTGATATAAAAGATGATTTGGAAACTTTGAACACTGGATTAGATTCACCTATGACACTTACAACAAAGGTGACTGTGAATAAGCGTAAAAGACGGAAAGCAGCTAATTTTCAAAATAAACCACGCAAACAAGCAACAAAAAAAACTGTAATTTCTCGTCGTGTCAAAATGGTGAATACAACTGTTGTTGGTGATGTTGATGCAGATGAGTTTGCTGGTGGAGAAGCTCATTTAGATGGTGAAAATGAAACTCTTGTTTCTAATGTGGGTCGAAAAAGAAGAGCACCACCAAAAGCTAGAGCTTCCAATGTTGATGTGGCACCACGGAGAAGTTCCAGTCGCAAATCAAAAGATAATGCTATGCGACTGATAGAATTGCAGGCAGATTCAAATTACACAGGTATTCCTCAGCCAGAAGAGGAACAGATTTTAGAGAAAAAAACAGTTCGTAGAACTAAAAAACGGATCAGTTCAGTTCAGATGGTTGATGATTTTAATGACTTGACTGATGATGGTGATGATTTATTTAGTAAAAGTGATGATGATTATGTGATTGATGAGGATGAAGCACATGCGGCTGAAAAGGAGGATTTAGAAATAAAGAGTGATAAAGTTAGAAAAACAAAAGAAAGAAAAAGTGGTGGGCTTAAGATGTCCATTAAATTAAGTGGGGATTCCTCTGCTGAAATAGTATCAGGTATCGATGATTCGCCCATTAAGAAAAAACGTAAGGTAGAAAAAAAGAAAGGTGAGAAAGGTAAGGGAAAGAAAAAAATGATTGCTCAGGAGGAACCCAAGTTAGAAAACAACCTTTCTACTGATGGTTCAGTTGAAAAACCAGAAGAAGAAAAGAAAGAAATAAATGAAAACAAAGTAAAGAATCCTGAAGGCAACAAACAAATGACATTAATGGAGAAATATTTCTCCACTGCAAATTCAGCCACAGTCGCTAGACAAATTAATAAAACATTTACTCTTAAAAAAGGAAAAAAAGATAAAAGTGACGAGACAAATAAAACAAAAAAAATTGGGTCATTGAAGCTTAATAATGCAAAAAAAGCATCTGTAAAGTTTAATTTGGAGAATGCTGATAAAGAAAAATTAGAAAAACCTTTAGAAGAAGTTGATTCTTCAACTCCAAAGTTTGTTTGTGGTTATTGTCCACTGAGGTACCATAATAAACAAGAACTATTAGATCACATGGAAGATCATATGGTTGAAATGGAAGGCAAGGATGCTAACAATGTAACAGATAAGGATTCTGTAGCTAATCAAACAGTCCTACCTTCTACAAGCATTCCACAAGCATCAAATACAGTTGTGGCAGAAAAGGCTAAAGTTAAAATAGAAGTTGAGCAAATGAAAGAAAGTGATTTGAAAAATGACATATCACTTGTCAAGAATAAATTCAAGTGTGGTGAATGTGGTCAAATATTTAACTCCAAACCTAATCTTCTTGATCATGTAAGAATTCATACTGCTGATAAACCATTTGAGTGTGATATTTGTCACAAGTGTTTTACTGAAAGAAATCTTTTGTCAGCTCACCGCAAAACACATGTTCAGGAGAAACTTCTGCGTTGCCACATGTGTAGCAAAGCATTTGTGGATAAAGCAGATCTCTCTTATCATATGCAATCTCACCCAAAACGTTCCAACCCTAATGCTTCTGGTAAAATGGGTATCAGTTTTAAGAAAAACATAAAAAAGAACCTTATAGAGCCTCCCAATAAGGATGGTTCTGTTGTATCAAAGAAACCTACATCTTTTGCCCTAGCATTGAGTGGGGAAACTGATAGTTCAGCTATTGATAGTCTCCAGCCTCAAGTCTTACTTTTAAAAAGAGGAGATCCGGTAGTTGCCAAAACTAGTAGTAGCTCAATTATCAAGAGTAACATATTGGACTCTAAAGCACCTTCCAAGCCTTCTACTCAAAAAACAACTATTACTGCTAAAAGTATTGACTTGCAGTTAGTTAATAAACCAGAACTTATCAATACACCTAAAACCATTGGGAGCAAAGAACAGGTTGCTGCTAAAACAAGTAATGAAAAAAATGTGGACTCAAAGCCACAGTCAAATGTTTGCACATGCAAAGAGTGTCCTGACTGTGTTACACGGTTTTTGCAGAGTTTTGAATAGCTTGAGATTTCTTTGTTGTGCCAGCAGTCTAATCAGTCTGTAAAATTTTATGTCTTTGTTTTTAACTGGTTTAAATCATAATCTTGTCATTATATGTTTTCAACACTTTGATTTAGACATTTTGTTAATGCTTCTCTTTACACATTGCTTAAAAGTACAATTCATTACTAAGGGGTATATGGTGAATCAAGTGCATTATTACATACCATTTTCCTTCCATTGTTAGGGGGTTTATTTAATGTCTGTTGGAATTGTTTAAGTCTCTTTTTGTACTAATCTAGGAATACTTTTACAGAGTGGTATTAAGCAATAAAACAAGTGTGTCATTATTATATTGAATTCATACTAAATAATAGACAGAAAAGTAGTCTGTAATTTGAAATCAAATATTTAAAGGTACTTGTAATTTTTCTGATATATTTTTTTCCATAAATTGTACATAATTTGCCCAGTCTGTACATCAGAAAGCTAATTAAGTTCTATTTTTTTAAAATTAATAATTTCTTTAATATAATATGATATCCAAAATCAATGAGGGAATCGTGGATGTAATGTTAACTTTTGATATAATTTTTTAATTTAACTACTAACTTATAACTGTTTATTGATGTAGCAGCTATCTAATAATCTTGAGAAGGTTACTATGTCCAAGATGAGACTTATTTCACAGAAATTTGTTCTACCACTTTTAATAATCATTTAATTACTATTTTGATTCAACATATTATATTGAATATAGTTATATATATATATATACATATATTTTTTTCCAGCAAGATATTAAAGGATTTTTTTGTAATTTTAACAATGGTACTTTTGGTCTAACCTTGCTGTTGGCAGCCTTAGCTCCAGAATCACACATGCATATTTGATTTATGGTTTTTTTCACTAGAAATTAAAAGTATTAGAACTAAAAGATACATTTCAATTTCAGTGGTTTATTTATTTATTTTTAAGACATTTGTTTCCCTGAGATGAAAAAAATATACCATAACTAATTTAAAGAATTGCCTCTCTCTAACCATACCACACCACATGGTTAGGCTAGAGTTAGGATTTCTGGTTGTTTGATACAAGGGCTGGGGTTAATTTTTATTGTGATAATAAGCAATGTTGTGCGGTATGGTTAAATTAAATGTTCATCTGTAAACAAAGGATAATTTTATGTCTGCGTTAAGCTTCGTTTACTTGATTGTTTTTTTCTTTTAAATTTCACCTCCCTTAGGTGATGGCATTTTCATATTTTTATTTGGTGGGCGTTTTTAAAAAAAATGACATTCATTAACTGAATATTGTTTATGATGACTGTTTGAATTGCAAATCATACCTAATAGATGCTTCCATAATACATATACTCATGCATTTATTTATGTATGTATATGTATATACATTAAATTCTTTACTACTCTAAGATCAGTGAATTCAGCTAAGACGCACTTTTTTCATTTTACTGATTTGTCATCTGGGTTTCTCTCTATATTTTTACATATATACATCCACACATTGGCTGTGAACAATCCTTATAGCTGTTGTTTTCTGAATTGTAAGCAAACAATTAAAAAATTTACATTTAGTATTATAAACTTGAAACCATTGTGTGCCAAGCTAATAAATGTTGCAACAGATATAAGCAGTTCATGCTAAAGTAGGGTGAGTTCTTTTGAGGTTGGAAGCAGGATGAAAATGTTTATGGTATATAGTGTTAAATGTTGTTATAATCTAAACCTATTCAGAAATCTTTGAAGTTTTACAGAAAATTGCATATAACTTTTAAATCTGCCTCAGATCAACATTCTAGTTAAAGATCACAGGCAATACATTGTTAATTTTAAAGCAAAATGAAATAGCTAGTTGAATTTAAAAAAAAAATCATTAGTATCATTTACAGATGATCACCATTTTGTTTTATTATTGTATTCTACAATAATTAGAAAAATAATGTATTGTACATAAACAATTACTAGCTCAAATATTGTAAAGAAAATCTTGCATGCCATTACATTTTCCCCATGCTTACTTGACCAATTAACTTTGCAGACATAGGAGCTTTAAAGATTTGTAAACTTGACTATTACCTATCAAATTATAAAAGTAATATAACTTTCAAAACACTCCCAGTTACTCATAGTTTGTTGTTTTGTATTAATCTGTACACACATGGGTATAACACTTGACGCCTGAAAAATAAACCATGTTTTGTTACTTTCCTTAGTCTTTTCATGACCATTGCAATTAAACAAAATGTACTTCAGAATCATTTTTAGAGGTGATAAGTTTTCATAATGGTTTGTGTTGTCCTGCAAATATTTTACACTAAGTATTGTTAAAAACTAAAATGAATTTGTGGCATTTGACTTACAATTGTCAGAAAGAGAAAATATGGATCAAAATAAATGAATATAAAAGTTTTGTTACTACAACTAGATGATAATGGGGGTTCATTGTGTTTTTTTTAAAAATCAAACTTGTGTTTTTAATAATCTAAAGGGATAATTAAGCATTTTTAGTGAAGTTGTTATATTTCTAAACTAGAGTGCTCAAATGTGGTAAGGTATTTTAATTCTATGATATGCTAATGATATGCTTAAAAATTATGTTGTACAATGTGCAGGTTTGCCTGTGCTATTTAACTGACAAGTATGAATAAAGAATAGTTTTGTTCATGGGAATTTAGTTACTTTGGTGATAAAACTCCCAGTTTAAGAACTTCTCACATTATAAATTATTGTTTTGTGTATATATTTATTGAATTTATGCTATTATTACTACAGCTTGGAGAAGTTCTTGTTGAAATGTACTTGAAGGTATTGTTCACACATGTAAGTTTGGCTGTGTTACCTTGTCTCAAATTCATAAAGATTACTATCATGTTTTTTCTTACCATTCTGATGCATTGTTTTAATCTTTGAAATGTAATTTATAAGATTGGTCTGTTGTGTAATGTTTTATGCAGTCTCTGTATATTTCATTCTGATAGGTATTCATTCATATAATTAGGCTTGGTTCTGAGTGTGTTTTTTTCTTCTAAATGTACTAAATTGTCACATTTGCACTTAAGAAAAAATTAGCAAGTAGCAGTGTAATGAATAACATTGTACCTTTGTTTTCAAAATCTATCAAACATTGAATAAAGTCTAAATACCAAACCTCTGAAATACTCATGTTTGTTTGTAGAATAGTTTTTTTGCTTACCTACTGTAGTTAGCAAAAAAGAGCATTGTTGTATTGGCCTTGTGGAATTTTCAGGTGATTTTAACCTGTATTATGCACAGATGGTTCAGCATCTGCATGGGTCGCCTAATGCATTGACATGTAAGGCCATACCATTTTATAAAAGTTATACCATTTTATAAAAGTAAAAGTTGACCTATCTTTACCAGCAGTTTATTAGCATTATAAAATATATGCTGCACGTGAAAAAGTAATAGAGGTAGAAGATAATTTAAAAATCGAAGCAAATTATTAAGAAGCAGCATTACATAACAATGCACAACTATCCACATGAGATGCTTATAAATTATAAATGCCAATCAAATGTTAAGGAGCCACATTACATAAGTATCAACAGCTATGCATAAGTGATGGCTTAAAGAAGCAAGTTAATAATAAGCCCCATTACATAACATTGATTCACAATCGTTAAGCTATTAAAGTACACATCTTGGTTTTAACAATAAAAAAGTTTTTATATCATTGTATTGTGCATATGTGTGTGCAGAAAAAAGAATCAATCTTAGGTATTTATTTCAAATTTCTGAAAGCGACTACCTACAACTTTTTGATGGTGCTTTATACAATAGTGGTGTATTTTCTTGAAGGTCAATAAAGCAAGGTTTTTTATGTATTCACCTGTTTGACTTAATACCTGTGTTTAGTAGCCTATAAAATAAGATGTAGGGGGTCATCCATAAATGACGTCATGCTTTTTTAACGATATTTACCTCCCCTCCGTCACACATCGTCACGTCACAAAAAACCAGACCCCCCCCCCTAAAATGACATCACACCTCAGCCTACAACCCCCTCAAAATTGCAGTTGAATTTTTCTTAAAACATCGATTTTTCCAAATTCTTGTCTGAACTCTGTCACAATAGAGTATTTTAATCAATTCCTATTGCAATTTATTAAAACAGTTTTCTAAAGCGCAAAATAACGTCTAAAATTCGTTTTCTAACATTGCTTTTTTTATAATGCAAAAGTGTGACGTCGCACCATCTGAACCCCCATCCCCCCTCATCACAGACCATCACAAAATTACGCCCCCTCCCCCCCTCGAGTGTGACGTCATTTATGGACGACCCCTAGGCTGTAGTGTATAGGGCTTGCATCTTATATTTTTTCATACGCTAATGGAATGATAACGTTAAAACGCCCTTTATGTTAAGATTATCTAATACATAGGCTAATATAATCAAGATGCATTAAGGGGCAGGGTGGAGTGTGTAGACTGGTGTGCAGGGTTTATATAGAAAACATATACTTTTATCAGTGTTCTCCCCTCCCCCTCCTACCAGAAAAATGTTAACGACCCCCCCCCCCCCCCGAAAATATCAAGTGCCCCCCCCCCCCCCCCCCCCCCGGAGAACAAACTCAGGAAGAAACAATGCAGGTGTGTAGAAAAGAAGTGTTCAGTTGCGCTCGTCAAATAGGTAACCTTTTTGTTTAAAAAAAAACAACCCCATCGTAACTTAAGATTCAATACCATCATACCGATGATTAAAAATAACATCAAGGTTGCGTGTGTCGTTCTCTCAGTAGACTTAAAAGTTGTGTTTTTTAAACCCGTGTTGTAAACAAGTGAATACAGCTCACGACCCGAGTGTCATAGCAATGTGTAAGGAACAATAATTACGTGTGTAGTTCATTCAGTAGGCCTAGCAGTTGAGTTTTTTTTTTAACCGTGTGGTAAACAGTGGCGGAGCTAGAAAGAAAGCTCCCCCGCAAAAATAATTTTCGGCCCCAACACCTGTATATTTATTTATAGGAATATAGGCTTTTTTTAGGCCAAATTGTTCAGATAGGCCCCGCCATTAACGCAAAAAGTACACACGCGAAATGTTAAGCCCAGAACTTTTTGCCAGCTCCAATTTAATGCACGCATGCAACCACGAGGTTTAGGACTACCATAATATACAGACCTTTTCATGCAAATTATGAATGACATGTACCAACTTTACCCTCTTCAATAAAATATACAAGCTTCATATCCTCTTTTTATAATCTTTTTTTGGGGCGGGGGGGGGGGGGGTAACTTTTTTGAGATCCATATAATATATAGGCCTATATTTGTGTGTGTGTTATAGTCTACAACATTTGTCTGTCGGTTTTTTTTTACAAAAACAATATCAAGGTGCAAGAAAAAAAAGGTAGGAATAAAAAAAAATTGATTGTTTTTATTGTCGAATTTTGAGCACTTAACGGGAAGTGTTTTTTTTTCTCCGGGGGGGGGGGGGGGAGATTTGAAATTTTCGGGGGGGGGGGGCGGTTGAATACAAGTTATGCAAGGGGGGGCGGACACTGTTAAAAGTAAAGTATGTATTTATTTTCTACATAAATTTCATTTAGTGGGGGGGGGAGGGTCGATGTTCTTTGCCCCCCCCCTCCCCGAAGAGATGCCTGGAAGAAACTCTGCCCCCCCTGCCCCCTACCCCAAATTGCGGGGTATGGCGACAAAGTAGTTCCGCCCATGAAAACAAGTGAATATGCCTAGGTACATCCCATTTCCCATGGGCTTGTCTGAACAAACGGCATATAGGCCTATTATTATATAAAGGCATTCAGAGGTTCCAGTCAGCTTTTGGTTGCAACATCGTCAGTTTTTCATGTGTGGTTTAGAATGGATATATTCTATATCGAATCTAGATGTATATCTAGTGTGGGCCTATGGCCTATTCCTTTATTATAATTTAGTCATTTAGCTAGATTTACTTGTGTGTTAGTTATGATGTTTAATAAAATAATATTGGTTGGGTCCCTCCATGCGATTGATCTAATAAGTATGTCGTCATGGGCTAATCAAGGACACTTGTAGTGACATCATTGGACACAATTTGTTATGCAATGATGTATAATCATGTATTTGAATTATTGTAGGAGCAAAAAAGACGGCGTGAAGTGGATACGCTCAACATATGAGCTGAGAGCATAGGACCTGGTTTATCTATAAGGAGAGTACTGCTTATTTTCTATATCTACTAGTAATTCTAAGACCTTTTAGTTCTCCAGCACCAACGGAGCTATCAATCCTTGCCTGACGGTATCGCTGCCCGATGGTGGGGAGGTAGTAGTTCGACTTGTGTTTGGAGACAGACACTTTCCCAAACTGTGATGAAGCCTTGCTCTTGGCAGCGCTGCCTTGGGTAGGGAGGAGCAGCGAGGGCACTCAAGACACATGAGTGGTGTTTGGGTTCTTGCCAATGTTTTATATATTTTAATGTATTGCATTTTTTTCATGTATTGCATTTTTTTCATGTATTGCATTTTTTTCATGTATTGCATTTTTTCATGTATTGCATTTTTTCATGTATGATCATGTATTGTATATGAATTATTAATTTTCATGATTTTTTCTTAGCAGGTTTTTCTTAGTATTTTTATTTTTCACGTTTTTAATTTTTCTTCAGGTTATACACTACCATTTCTCCAGCACCAACGGGGCTACCAATCCTTGCCTGACGGTATCGCTGCCCGATGGTGGGGAGGCAGTAGTTCGACTTGTGTTTGGAGACAGACACTTTCCCAAACTGTGATGAAGCCTTGCTCTTGGCAGCGCTGCCTGGGGTAGGGAGGAGCAGCGAGGGCACTCAAGACACATGAGTGGTGTTTGGGTTCTTGCCAATGTTTTATATATTTTCATGTATTGCATTTTTTTCATGTATTGAATTTTTTCTTGTATTGAATTTTTTCATGTATTGCATTTTTTTCATGTATTGCATATTTTCATGTATTGCATATTTTCACGTATTGCATATTTTCACGTATTGCATATTTTCACGTATTGCATATTTTCACGTATTGCATATTTTCATGTATTGCATATTTTCATGTATTGCATATTTTCATGTATTGCATATTTTCATGCATGATCACGTATTGTATATGAATTATTAATTTTCATGCTTTTTTATCTTAGCAGGTTTTTCTTAGTATTTTCATTTTTCACCTTTTAATTTTTCTTCAGGTTATACACTACCGTTTCTCTAGCACCAACGGGGCTACCAATCCTTGCCTGACGGTATCGCTGCCCGATGGTGGGGAGGCAGTAGTTCGACTTGTGTTTGGAGACAGACACTTTCCCAAACTGTGATGAAGCCTTGCTCTTGGCAGCGCTGCCTGGGGTAGGGAGGAGCAGCGAGGGCACTCAAGACACATGAGTGGTGTTTGGGCTCTTGCTAATGTTTTATATATTTTCATGTATTGCATTTTTTTCATGTATTGAATTTTTTCATGTATTGCATTTTTTCATGTATTGAATTTTTTCATGTATTGCATTTTTCATGTATTGCATTTTTCATGTATTGCATTTGTCATGTATTGCACATTTTCACGTATTGCACATTTTCACGTATTGCATATTTTCACGTATTGCACATTTTCACGTATTGCATATTTTCACGTATTGCATATTTTCACGTATTGCATATTTTCACGTATTGCATATTTTCACGTATTGCATATTTTCACGTATTGCATATTTTTACGAATTGCATATTTTCACGTATTGCATATTTTCATGTATTGCATATTTTCATGTATTGCATATTTTCATGTATTGCATATTTTCATGTATTGCATATTTTCATGTATTGCATATTTTCATGTATTGCATATTTTCATGTATTGCATATTTTCATGTAATGCATATTTTCATGTAATGCATATTTTCATGTAATGCATATTTTCATGTATTGCATATTTTCATGTATGATCATGTATTGTATATGAATTAATTATCATGCTTTTTTCTTAGCAGGTTTTTCTTAGTATTTTTATTTTTCAAGTTTTCAAATTTTTCTTCAGGTTATACACTACCATTTTTTTTTATTATTTCCGCAGAAAGATTCTTAAGGGAGCTTGCAGTTCTCCAGCACTAACAGGACTACCATTCCTTGCCTGGTGGTAGTGCTGCCTGACGGTGGGGAGGAAGTGGTCCGA